GCGTAAGCTCTCAAAAACCACAATGACATTATACTGACTTGAGAACGTGATGAGGACTTCAAATTTGACACTAGGGATTAGTAGGGCAATGAACTTACCAGTACTCCTTTAGAATGTAGAGCGTCTTAGTAAAGAGTAAATACAGTGCACACATTTCAGGGTTTAAAAAGCACCAAAACGCTCCCTCCCTCCCCTCCCCACAAAAAAAAAAAAAAAAAAAAAATCCCACAAAAAAACAACCTAGTGCTTACACCATAAAAATACTACTTTGTTCCAGGAATTCTAAAAGACTAGACTTGTGACTTTTAAGATTACTTTCAATTATTCAAAGGTACCTTGTGATTACACAGAGCTTAACTTGGTCCTCAGGTATGGAAATGCTTATGTACATGGGCATCATGTGTGTCACCTGTACCCGTACTACCACAAACTAGCAGTCATTGAGGAGGAGTTCTACCAAGTAAATGAATCCTATCTCCAATGATGACTGTACAGAAGTAACCCCCTGAGATATTCTCTTTTTCCTTCTTACCACTCTGAGGTTAAATTCTAGCACCAAAAAAAATGGAACTAATTACTGATTGATAGTATTTAGACCAAACATATCTTTGTCAGATGTTTTACAACTGGAAAGAAAATATCCTTTGAGGTGCCTTTTACAGCTCTTGGGGTTTGCATTTATGAAGCTTCTTGTGTATGTTTTGCCACATAGTTAGTTGACTGAGGTTTTTTCTACAAAATATAATGGAGAAGTACTTTGCAATAAATAGCCTGGGACAATTTTACGATTTCTTTGCTAACTGCTGTTGTCTGGTGTTCTTACTCTTTTTTTCCTCAACTTAAGTATATCTCCACTCAGTTTTCCTTCAGTATTATTGCTAAGGCTTAATTGAAAGGTCAATATGAAATGGATTAACAGAGGTTGTACTCTTTCTTCTGGTGTTCCATTTACCATTGTTCTTGTTTTTCACTAGTAAACCAGGTCGTGGCTGGTTTTTCTTTTGTTATTTCATGGCAGAGAGAATAGGAGAGAAAAGCAACCATCTAGGAGGGGATTTATTGTTGTACGTAATTCTCCAATTTGTTGTCCTTCTCCCTGCTGACACTCCTTGCAAGCAGCAGATTGCCTTACTGCTGTGCTTGTTGGATCTTGAAAAAAAGAAATTCTGATACCAGGGATGCTGGTTTCCTCTTGATACTGTTCAGTGGTAGGGAACATGCACATTTATTTCTCTCCTTTATTTCCACAGACAATAAGCAATTCAAAGTTGTTGGGTTTTTTTTCTCCCATAGACATTTCTTGTTTAATCCATATTACCCTTTATGGCTCAGTCCTACATGACATTTTTGAACTTTGATTTCCTCTGTGGTATGCTGCCTCTGTTGTAGTTAATATCATCACTGTCCTCAGATTTACTTGACAATTATTCAATTTAATTTCTTTTTATCCTCCTAGATCATTTTGCTACCTCTGAAGCCCTTAGTATGGGCTGTGATTTCTCAGTTATTTATCTGCTATGTGGTGACATAACACAGCAAAAAAACCTCCAAAAACCCACAGTAGGCTGTTGCTCTTGCTGTTACTCTTTTCCTCATTCTTCCCAGTAATGAGGAAGGCAAGTGCTACATTGCTGGCTTCAGATGTAGTTGCTCATTTACCTTTATTTGCTCTGAACTAGCCAAAGCAAAGATGTTTGGGTTTGCATTAGGTTTCTTAGGCTGATGCCAACCAGATTTCTCATTTGGCTGAGAAACCCATGGAAGGGGACAGGGGGAGAGGGCAGAGACCCTTATGGTGTGTGTAAGAGGTGTGCACATGTTACAGCCGTGTGTACCTCTTGTGTCTGTAGACAGCAAAAAAGATGAAGTCAAAAATATATGGTGACACTATTTCTGCAGCATTGTTGTCTGAATAAGTAAATGTGATAGAGGCAGGTGGATATCTCTTATTGGATAAACCAATTCTTTCAGCTTACTTTCAGTATATTACTTTTCCTCACCTCTGTACTAGTTTGGCACTATTTCTTGCACGTATTGGGGATTTTAGGTAGTGTAGGGATATGACTGTTAAGGGTGTCTACTTTGAAACTTTTCATGTGCATGCCCTTTTGAGATTTGTCTTAGTGTCTCAGGAAATAATTAGAAGAGATATATTCAAACTCTGGTTTCATTATTATAGGTATTCAACTAATTGTTTATTTACACATGGATTGCAATTAATACACAGCATCATCAGTATGAAACACTTTGAGTACAAAGAAATATTTCAGCACAAAAGATTAAAAAAAAAAAAGGGGGGAGGGGGCAACAGACATTCTGCACAAAACCAGTGATAGAGAAGATGCTGCAGTTCTGAACCCAAACTTATTCCATAGAGAATTCCTCTGGATTATAGGAGGTTCCTGCTCCTTTCACTAATTCAGCAAATGTATTTGAATCAACACCATCTACTGGATGTGTTTTACCAGCTTCTACCAGCATAGCCTATCTTCACATTCTTCTTAAAGTTTTTTGTTTGTTTGTTTGGGAGAAAGGCAAAAGTGTGACCATAAAACTGTTGGTAAAAACCCTCCTGAGAACTTGAGGGCTGTTATGTCAGTTACTCCTTGAATTAATGTATAATAGCTTTCTAAATGTGGTCTTTTGGAGTGATTACTCCATGTGATGTACCCATGTAATGGATACATCATAAAATAATATCTATCAAGGCATAAAAGTGACAATATGTCAATTAAAGTCCCTATGTAAACTTTTAAAGTGTGCTTCAAAATTCTAAAAATACCAGATTTTAAGCTGAGGTTTTAATTTTTAACTGGATTTTTAAATAAAACTTTTTGTTTTATCCCAATCATACTAAGAAAAATAAGAATGTTGACATTTTGGTAAGTTTGAAACTTTAAATACCCACCAGCTCTATATATGAATACAGGAATAATGTAAAGCAAAAGTGAACAATGATTAGAATTAAAGCAGCTTGTACTGCTTTAATCAAGAGTTCATCACAGAATTATGAGGAAAGTTTATGTGCATAAATCAAAATATATACATGCTAATTGGCAATCACTGCATTTGTCTAGCGGTGAGAAATTAATTCTAAATACATTTTTATTTGCCTTTCCAGACATCCCAGATATTAAGTAAATTAGTAGGAAAAATACATCTTTCACATTTAATTTATGTGGGTTTTTTATTAATATCTTAAGGAAAAATGATTTATAAATGAATATTTATCTGCCAGTGTGTACAGTACGTGATCATGAGCCATTTATTGCTTTTCAGTTTTGCTGTTTGGCTTATTACAGCCTTGCAACAATTCTTGGACCACTATTTAGAGAGTTGTAGGTCACATTCAATACAAGATAGAATTTGTTCCTCTGTGACAACTTCTAAAATTGCTGCATGAGATTAAAACTATGAAACAGTATGATTATCACAGGTGAAAAAGTTACCTCAAGCTTACCCAATGGGATAAAACATGATGGCAAGAACGTTTTATCCTGTTCAAGTACTAATTTGTTTACATATTTGATTGCTGCATATTAATGGGATTTTGATTCAAGTAGACTAACTGAACACTTTCCAAACAACTGAGTGTAAATAATTTTTTAAATTACTGTTGTCATTTTACCATGGTGTCTTGAAAGAAGATCAATGATGGTTCAACAGCTAACATAAAATGTCAAGATAATAGAATTAACTAGTATAAAGAAAGCAATTTTGGAACTGAGTTATTTGATGTAATGAATTTTGAGAGAAATAATTTTATTCAGTGATCTGCAGAGGGGCAGGTGGTCTTGATCTGGGTTCATTTTATGGCTGATTGGGGAAAGAATGTTGTTAAAGCCATTAAACAAAGTAGTGTTCTTTGAATATGCTGGAAGACTTCTGTATAAATATATTTTGACAATAATACAGAAGTGATAATGAAAGTAAGCCTGGTTTCCTCTCAGATCTTGCTAGATATATTTCATATATGCATTGCTATACAGCCTGCTACCTGACGGACAACAAGCACCTTTTAGGGCCAAAATTCATGTATGACAGTCTTTGAGATCCAAAACCTATTTCAATTTACAATTACAGCGAAATGCTTTCTTCTGATACTGCATAGTATAAATCTAACTAATAAAATTGCACCTAGTCAAGAAAGTTAATGACAGGATGGACTACTTTGGTTTTATTTTTTTCATGCTATAGGTCAAAATCAAGTCATTGTGGTTTCGCTTGTTCTTTTTGCCTTTTTTTTTTTTTTGACGTGATAACATTAAAATTTTATGAAACCGTGGCATAAGCCTATGCTGGAACAGGTTAGTGTGACTATATTATAATAAGACAATGCCAACAAGTCCTGCTAGAGAACACACTTCTTTCCTGAAATAATTTATTTGCAATATAAACCCTATTCCTGAGGCTATATTCTGTGGGTTCTGGCATTGATTATTTTGCTTTATAGCTAAATCATACCAGGGCTTTTCAGCAGCACACAAAACACTTCAGCAGAACTTGTTTCTAATATAGACTTAGCTAGTGTGTTGTCCAGACTCTGAGCACTTTCTGGTACAGTGAATTTGTGATTTATGAGCGTTGCTTCCTGTCTGCAGCATGGCCTCGTTTACAAACGAAGTAGATTTTGATTAAGTGCTGTATGAGTTTAGCTATGACGTATGCATGCAATTTGGTGCTTTTTAGGAGTATTATTGTTGCAATTTGTACTTGAATAGTCACAGTGTCAGCTATTTTTGTGTGGTATTCTACTCTTAATGCAAACATTTACTTCTCTGTGTGATATTCGTTCTGGAATGCCTTGATATGAATGAATGAATGCATACTAATTTTTTGCATTTTCTTATAGCAACGCCTGTCTTATCTACCATAAAAATTGTGTTTTTCTCTCCCTGGTTGCTTTTGTATTTTTAAAGATAATCTTTATTTTCTAACTTCTTTAGATAGTGTCCACATGAAAAGTTAATTAATAAATAATGTCACTTTTCTGTTAACAGCGCTTGTCCAATGGTTCTATAGACTCAAATGATGAAGCCAGTCAAGTTGTTGAACTTCAGGAACTACTGGAAAAGCAAAACTATGAAATGGCACAAATGAAGGAGCGTTTGGCTGCACTGTCTTCCCGGGTAGGAGAGGTAGAGCAAGAAGCAGAGACTGCCAGAAAGGAGCTCATTAAAACAGAGGAAATGAACAGTAAATATCAGAGAGACATTAGAGAGGTAAGGAGTTCATGACGGGCACCTCGTATCTCTTGACTGTTGTTCCAGTGATGCCCACTACAAACTGATTGAGGCCAATGAATATGGACAGCAAAAGTTGAGCACTGATCCAAGGCCCTTGTACATAGGAAATGCAAAATTTACATTAAGAAATAACACTAGAAGTCTCTTTATAAAAACCATGTTCATAAAAGTGGGTGTGCATATGTGCAAATCTAATAGGAGGAAGGTCAACTCCTTTGTGATTTAACATTACCAGAGCACTTTCTGTCAAGTTTTCAGCTATTTCAAGTTTTTAAGATGAACTCTGTAAATAGAGATGCTGGTCACATAGACAGTCTAAAGTACATGTTTAAAACTCCTGGGCTGTTGTATAAAATGGTTTATTTTTATAATCAATTATAATATTTAATCATGTGTGGTAACTTCATTACTCCTGTTACAATATGCTGTTCCCTTTGCTCAATAAATGGAAATATAATTAAATTTTCTTTTTCTTTCCTCCTCTTAAATTTGTGGTGCTCCTTAGTAGTCTCCAGAGTGTCTTCTTTTACATGGATGCTCTCAATATGTGTAGATGGTTGGCTTCTAGAATCTGTGTTAGTATTTTGAAATTAGAGTAGTTAACTTTCTGTTACACTGCTTCCTACAATACCAGTATTTAATATTGATTTGTATGTGTGTGTATGTATATACATATGCATTTGTATGTATGTATTCAACCTGTTATTTCTAGTATTCTGAAAGAAATGTTCCTTCAGAACTCCTGACCCATCAAAGTGTCTCCACGTCTTCGTACCCCAAATTGTAAAGTACTGTATAATTTTGATCCAGTTACAAAGAATAGTTTGCACTGGTATGTTTCTCCTTTTCCACCACAGCTACATTATATCACTAGGGGTCTCTAGTGTCTCCTTTTTGATTTACCTTTTGAGAAATACTGCTGTCTCATGGACACTTGATTACCACTTTCTGTTACTCTTAAATACAACCTTACACCAGCTACAGGCTTACTTGCTTTCAGCCCTTCACTTCCCAAGCAAAGTGACCACTAACTCATTTGCGTGTAGAATAATTACCAAATGTCAGTGCAAAAATCTGCTGTGAGAGGTGTTTGTGAAGGTGGAAGTGCTGGTCTTCATTATTTCATACTGCCACAAAAGGTAGTCTTCCCAATGCAGAAAATTAAATACCTGCAACAAGAAGTGTAGTTTAGTGTTCTGTAACTTGGATAGATTACCGGATTTTTTTTGTGTGTGTGTTTTTAATTGCATACTTAATTACTATATTAGTCATTTTTCTTTCTAGCAATATACAAATGGATCACCTGGATATGGTCCATTTTAAGACTAGCCATTTGGATCCATTTTACATGTTAATTATGTCTTTCTTGCAAAATAATCTCACTTATTTCAACACTATTGTTGTAATGTAATATAACATAAACAGCAAGACATGCCCATCAGTAAATATTTTCATTGTGAAAGATTATGGGGCAATGTGTAAGTCTTCTCAAGAGGCAGACATGAGTTTAAAACCAATAAAAATTTCTGATTTCACTAAAATTAAAGATAAATAAGCAACGTAATATATGGACTAATGAATAATCTATTTAAATTACAGATATTGACTTCAGTGAGGCTAGCTTCTAATACACAATTAAAAACAACTCAAGGTTTTAAAGAGATTGTGATCTGTTACCTATATTATTAATACACTCATATGTTATGCTTATGTTATGTATCCATATGTTTCCTGAAATTTCAGAACATGTTATGGGCTATCTGCTACATGTACATCAGCAGAAAATTTTAGCGGGACCCAGAAATGAGAGTAGAACTGTGCATATACATTTTTTCCCCACATCACTGCACTTTTTCTGCTATTATGTAGCTATTTCGGTTTCTCTGTTTTTCTGATCAAGTGTACTGTTTTTTAAGAAGCAGGCAAGTAAATGTGAGCTGCTTTTGCTATGCTTTTTGCATTGAAAAGTACAGAAACTGGAAAAATATTCTGTTTGCTCCACTCAGCACCTAATACTTTAGATATCATAGTTACCAGAAATCCCAAAGGAAACAAATTATCTTTAAAACAGAAAAGTTACTGCTGAGCATACCTTACATCCCTGTCTACTATGAGCATGAAAATTAAACTGGTATAAAATTATGTACCATTTTAATTGCATGGTTCTTGATGCTTTGTGGCGCGTTTTTTGTCATATTAGGCGATGGCACAGAAGGAGGACATGGAGGAAAGAATAACTACGCTGGAGAAGCGCTACCTCAGTGCACAGAGAGAATCCACCTCCATCCACGACATGAACGACAAGCTGGAGAATGAGCTGGCAAACAAGGAAGCCATCCTGCGTCAGGTGGAGTACCTGCTTTGCTCTCTTGCTTTCTTCATGCACAGTGAAAATTAATGCAAAAAAAAGGGGGGCAGATCTACAGTAGGAGGCTTTCTTTAGGTTAATCTATTAAGTTTTTAATCAACAGATCAGTTAATCTAAAAAAAAAAACCCTAAGTTGTTTAGCATCTCTAAGCTTCATATCAGCTATTACTACCATGAATCAAGGTGTGCATGCAACACTGGAAAATAACTGTCTTTTCTGATAATGTCTTGCATAAATGCACTTAGTTGTATCCCCAAAGTAAGGGATTATCTTTGCATCTTATGTAACAATCTTTCTTATTTTTTTCAAATTGAAAAAAAAAAATAGTATAAGCAAAAGAAATTCCCTTCTGCAAAAAATGACATCTTCTAATGATTTCACTTATTAGTAGTGTGTAAATAAAGTTTTACAAAGCTAAACTATCCATTAATAGATTTTTTTGAAAGAGTATAATGTGATTGTGCCGCTTTCTTATGGTATTTTGTTTCCATGGTGATTCCAAAAGCTGAAGTGTAAAGTGAACAGAAGACAATGGTTTGTAATTTGAAGAATACAATGCGAACTGAAGGCTAACATGAAATGAATATAATTCCAGCTGTAAAAGATGAAATTTCTCCTCAGGCTCAGTGTCAGACTTCTTTATTTTTTCACCTATCATATTGTCAAGCAATATAAAATGATATATGGGAAATAAATCTGCATGATCTGATAATCTCTGCTTATACAGTTGTATGCAGATACATTTACACAGACATGCACTCACCCTTCTGTGTGTGTATATATATATATATATGTATGTGACTACCTCTTTGGGGAAATTACAGCATCAGAACTCAAATTCTCAAGCTTTTGCCAAGTTCCTTTAACTATTTTAGGAGGTACCTTCAATTGTTAGGAAAAAAGACCCACCATGCAGCAATGGAAAAGGTGCCTGCATCTGAGTTTTTAAGTAAGTCAATGAAAGTCATGCTGTGCTGCATAGATCTACCTGCTCAAAGCAGCGATCAGTTGAACTGGGCTTAGAATATATACAGGCAGACTGAAAGTTGATTAGCAGGATAGTGATGTAGAAAGCATGCTTTTTCATGCTTTTAAAGGATTAAAAAAGAATCTAAAAGCACACTCCTTTTTAATTATGTCTTCTATTATTTGGAATGAACAAGACAGCAGGGAACACTTACCAAGCCATTAAAAAATTCTTAATTATGTGGTGCCTCTCAGTAGGCCAGAAAATACAGTAGTTATCAAAAGTCCTCCTCTTTCTCTTTAATGGTTATCACAGATATAATCAGTTTCACCTCTGTAGAATGAGACTTAGTTGTAGGTTCAAAACTACACAATATCACTACAACCTTAAGCAAAGAGTAGCTAGGTTATGATCATGACTGAAACATCTGTTTTAACACTTCCTAATATATGATTGCAATTTTCTGAACAAATACCATTTGGCCATTTGTTCAGAAATTTTGCTGGGAATTCTGTCCTTTTGGAATTATACTTTTTCCTATTTTTTTCTCATATATAAACTTTTCTGTGACATGGACTCTATTGTGTGTTGCTATTGCTTCCCTAATACCTAAGAAACTGAAGGAAAATCTAGTTTTGTTTTGGGCTCTTTTTTTTTTTTAATACCTGTTTTTCTATCTTTGGCCTTTAGTTGGAAGACAAAAACAGACAGCTGCAAGAGCGTCTAGAGCTGGCTGAGCAGAAGCTGCAGCAGACTATGAGGAAGGCTGAAACCTTACCTGAAGTGGAGGCTGAACTAGCTCAGAGAATTGCAGCTCTGACTAAGGTACTGCCCTAAGAAATAAGTTCACTTCAGAAGCCCTGGTATTTAACGTTGATTTACATCCCTATTCCTCACCTCAAGGACAAAACAAAATTCGCATCAAGCTGATTTGAAAGAAGAAATATTTCCTGGCAAGGATGTGCCACAGTTTTAACCAGGAATCGTCTCAATGCTGTGTTTGCATTTTAGTTAGTATTCTTAGCATTTTGGTAGTAGGAAAACCAGTTCTCTATAAAGTTCACCTAGGTTATATTTACAAAGGAGTCATACATTGCCAACACATGTGAGCATCACTTAGGAGGATTCATTTTACTGTTCAAGTGTTCCTAATCTAAAGGAAGAGAGGGAGGGGGAAGTCCCATTCCTATACTTAGTTCTTCCAGACATTTTCTTATACATCATGTATATGGAGCAATGATTATTTTCAATTCAGTAAGTTCTGTAAAATCTAATCTTAGTGGCAGCTGGGAGCATTTGTACAACACAAATAAAGAAAACTTGCAGTACGTAGTTATAAGGTTTGTTTTGAATTATTCTTTCTATCATATATTCATATATCTGCAAAGACAAATGTGAAGCCCTGAGAGAACTTCAAACTGTTTTTTCAAATGAATTTATTATATGGCAGCTTTCTTGCAGAAAAAATATAAGAGAAACACAAATTTTCGGTAATGTGTTTTTTTTGTGTTTGGCCTCTAAAACTTTCATGTGTGCATGTAGTTAATACTATAGCTCAGGTATTATCAGCTGCATAATAACATATAATAATATGTTTATTATTCGTCTCTTAAAATCAGCCAAATAAAGAAAAACTTCATTAAAGAGATTGTATTATATATCATTCTGATTTATCTAAGCTTTCATTTCTCTATTGCCAAGGAATGTTTCTAGCTATTTATGTGCCTAGCTATTTTTAAAGTTGATAGATTTTTTTTCAGTTTTCCTTTTTTTCAATTTATAGTGAAGCCTCAAGTGCTGAGCAGCTCAATAAAAAAGTCTGATTTTTAAGTAATTTAGTTAAGAAGTAGAGAGAGAGAAAGAGAGGCTTTTGGGGGAAATTCAGGTTGGGTTTTATATTTTATTTAGGCAATATCATTATTCAGTAATCAAGAGTTTGTGTTGTCTGCTTTAGGTTTGTATGAATGGGTGAGAATCTGAAAGAGAGACTGAAAATGGTGGGGAGAAAAAAGAAGGATCAGCAAAAAGAGAGCTACACTAAATACCAAACAAACATAATTTTACTTAAATAAAAGCTCAGGTGCACATAAGAGCAATCCCTTGGCATTTTAACAATTAAAATTGTTTTTCCAGTTTCTTCTGATTCAACAAATAATCATGTGTTCTAATGCCCTCAGTAGTTTTAAAATATTGTTTTCTATTTTAAGAGGATTTTTCGTGAATAATTTCTCCAGCAATTAGGCACCAGTAAGTATTTTGCAGTCTCAAGCATGTCTTCTCTTGCAACTGCATTTTTCCTTGAACATCTATTAATGACAAATATTGTAAGAAGAAATCCCATTTCAACCATGCAGAGCTCTCAGGGACTTCCATGAGATACTTTTGTTATCGTGACCATAAAGCTGCAGTATGCATCTCCGTTTGTCTTCTTACATTATTTCATGGGATGTGGTTAAAGAGTTGTGAACAGAGCTGACGCTCCACCCCATTTCACTTTGATGTATTTTATCAAAGTTTTTGCCAGGTGGGAAACTAAGAAGTATATTAGAATGTAATGCCAGTTCTGTTCATTTCTCTGTGATTACATGAAAAACTGAGGAACTTTATTTTATTTAAAATTGTGTCTTCTTGGAATACATGGCATGAAGAAGGTCAGAATTTGGCCAATAGGGCAAATAACCCTGTGTTTTCTGTACCTTGTATACAGCGTCTTTGCAAACTGTAGAGCTTCTTGAAGTGCTGGTTTGACAGCTCTGAAGTTTAGAGACCAGTATGGTTTGTGGATCACATACGTGAATCTTGGAACCAAGGGTGACACTGTAGACACTACATCTTACTTAGGGATATTTAAGTATTAGCTAGCTGGTATATTGTTACCACACTAGCTATTCAATGAGTAGCTTAATTAATTTTACCTTTGTTGAGCTGTGTACCAGTATACACGTTGTCAGTAGGAGTCAAATTAGCTGGCTTCAGACTACCTTAATTCTGCCTACCTAAGCAGTGGTCACTGCATGTCTGTGAATACTAAGTGAAAAATGAGCCCCCTGAATCATCCAGCCTTTCTGCACCACAAAAAAAAAATTCAAAACTGTTTCTCCTTCCTTTAGTTAAAGCGACTTCTCTGAGATTAATGGGGTTGCAATCATATGAAGGAGGTGAGTTAAGCCTAATAAGTTTTACGTATATTTTTAAAGGAAAGAAGTATGAGATAACTGGAAACCAAAGTCGCTTCACTGTGGGTAAAATGTAAGATCAGTTATTGACATGTGAATATAAACCAGAACAAACATGTTCTGGATTTGTATGTGATTTTTTTTTTCCCCTTCCCCTACCCCCATCAAGTTTAAGGTACGCATGTTACAATTCTTTTCAATTTCTTATGCCTTTCTTCATAATAAATCTGGCTTGTGATTCAGCAAAAGAAGGATGTAGAGTGAGATCCTTCTATGGTGTCAGTTCTTAAAACAAGTTGTTTTTCTTTTTTTTATGTATATATGGGCTAGTGAATGTCTTTTGCTACTTTTCCATGCCCAAACTAGTTCATAAGGAGTGAACTTCCAAAAGTTTGGACTATACAGTGAACTCAGATAAGTACCCATAAATTTACCTGAATCATTTGAACTTTTCTTTGGCTTTGTTTTCACTGTGTTCTGCCCATTGGGTGAGCGACTGGAGGGTTAGTCAGTCTGTGGCAGACTAACCTGGAACAGCATGATCCCATGTCCTGTGCTGTCCTGCCTGGCCATTGCACTGGTATTTGTCTGGTCATGACAAGTAGCACAGCTCCCAGCATGTATCCCAAGATTTATATTGCCATGACTCATTGAGCCACCTTGTACTCTCTCTCACAGTATTGGTCTGTTTGCCTGCCTGGGAGAAGAGGCAGTTGTGGTAGAAAGAACCTCCCTCCAATACTAACAAAACCTTTCTCTATCCTGTAAGATGTTTATTTTCCCCAGAAGGGACAGGCATTGGAGCATCCAGAACCTTCAGATGGTTAGTCTGTCAAACACAGTTTCTCCTTGTATGTCTTCAAGGAGGCATCTAGTGGAGACAACCAGCATCCACCTACTTCTGTTCACTCCCACTAGTAGTCACTCTCCCCCTCAGGTGCTTGCGCAACGGAGGTACCATGTCACTGCTCTGATCACAAGACAGTGGTCAGCACTTTGTTCCATCATTTCTGTATGCAGGTGACCAGAATTACCAAATGTGCTTCTTAGCTGCATTAGAGAAGCACTGAGATGGAGAAGAGGAAACCGTAATCATAATAAATCACATTTAGTGTAATAACACCTTCAGTTTATTTCAAAAATGATTAAAAATTACTTGAAAGTTGGAGGCAAGTGGGACACAATGCTTGTTTTGTGACAATGTGGGGATCTGGCTTGCATTAAGCAGGGAAGAAGTTGCAAGAAAGTGAAAGAAGCTGGTTTGCAGTGGAGAGGATGTGAAGGGAGGTAAGATGTTCTCCTGCAACAAGTTGATGTGGTTGAGACAGAAACCTCTCTGAGAACAAGGGAGAGAGAGAAGATAATGTGTTAGCTGGAGAAGGAAGTTGATAAATCTTCTCAGGGGAGATAAAAAAAAAAAAGAAAAAAAAATTGAAAATTTTCTGTGGGGAGGGAAGCCTAAAAAAATTCCACTTTTACAACATGTTACTGTCTTCTCAAACCACCCCACTTCTTGTGCTTCCCTTTCCACAGAAGATTTTGTCCTGATAGGAGGAAGAAATGAAAGAAGAAAGTTTGACAGAGCTAAATGGAAGGACATGCATGGTAAAACTACAAGGTGTAGAAGATAGTGGGAAAATGAAGGAGGGGTGAGAGTATGTGGATATGTAGCAACTGAAATGTTTGGTTTCAGAAAAGGGGGTGACTTAAGCCAGCGTTTTTTGTCAGATTTGTAATGGGTTAGAAGTGAGCATGTGAACAAGTAGCTGATAACTTTGTTAGCTGTTAGTCACCATGATCCCCTATTTTCGCCTTTAATTGCATAGCTCAATGCAATAATGGGTTCCTTCTTCTTGAATAACTCAAGAAGATAGCCAAGGAATGTGTGCCATAAGAAGCCAGCAGAAATTCTGGAGACAGAAGGTATTCAAAAGTCAAAAATCTCAAAGCTGTGAAAATTGGCTTGCACCATTAGAAAAGTTCAGATTTCTTCCTGCAGCTCAGCATGAGGAAGAAACATACTACCTGTATTGTACAGGTACTTTCTGCATCTGAAATTGGACTTTATTTTTCATTAAGATGCAAAGACTTAGAAAATGTGCAGAGCCAACAGTAACAGATGATGTGAAAGCAACATTTTTTTTTTGTGGGTGCATTAACAGCAGTAGCAGCAGCAGAGTTTTAACAGGGTTAGAGAGCAATAATACAAGCTACTTCAGTATTCCCTCAAAGCAAAGTTTGTCTGTTACTGGCTTATACTGGCTATTTCTTTGCTATTTTGTACTGTAGAGCATGCAAAGTGAGCATTAAGGTTCATGCTGATATCTCTTAGGAGTCAGACATTGGTTGGTTTTGTCCATATATTTTTAATCCAGTCTAAGATGCACAGTTTCACAAACCTATTTATAACTGAATGTGCTGACTAAATGCTTTAAATGCTAGTTGCTGAACACCACACCATGTGTATTACTAATCCTTCTGTGCAGAGTACTCATGAACAGGAATGCAAGTTATATATTAAAAAGAATGTAGGGTAAGGTCTGCCAAGCAAGCAATCACTTTAGTAGTCCCCCTTTAAAAAGTTTTTAATTCAATTAATTCTTAGCCAAGCAAGTCGGAAGAAATCCAACTTCTGATTATGAGCCTCAGAGTCCAGAGTTGTCCCTTCTGTCTGTGTCAGCATGTATCTGAAATTCTGCTACAGGAACATGACTTGCACTGGTGTCTCAGCCTCTACCTTGTGCCTCAAACCACAAGGCAGAGGTGGAGACATTCAGTATTCTTATGGCAGGTTCCCAAAGTGTCACAAAGAGCCTATTCCAGTGGGAATGTCTTGGGAATGATGAACACACATGGACAACAAAAAAGTGTAACAACCACAGGCATGTCAATCCTAACAGTATGGCCTGAGGAGGTCTGTGGAGGTGGCATTTACAAATCCCTTAGGGAATAGCTGACTTGCTGTTTGTCTGGAATGGTCTCTTTAAGACCTTGATTGGGGAATTCCTCAGCATAAAGGGCAATGAGAGGCTTTGAAACCCTCATTCTGGGAGTTATGTTCCAGCTAGGAGATGGAGGGGTTGCTCTTTCCTTCTGCACCTCTTTACAAGTGGGTTTCTGCAAGTGAGAGAAAAAATGGAATATGCATGTGTGCTTCTGTCTCCCTGGCCCTTACAGAAGGCACCCTTTTGATTCATGTCCCTGCTGCAGAAGCTGCTCATGCATTTGGCATGTAATAACCAGTGGTTAAAATCCCTAAATAGCATGGGAGCCTAAGGTAGTAACTGAGGCTGTGCACCTGTGTTTGTTCTCTGCCAGACAAGTAGTCAAAGCTAATTATTTCATGTCTCAGTTATAAAATAATTTGGTTCTCTTAGAGTAATACAGAATAATGCTTTAGGAACAAACAAGTGAAATGCACTTAGACAAAGGAAACATGAAATATTCAAATACATTTTAAGCGTTTATGGTGTTTGTTTTTATTCTAAGGCATAGTGAATTTTAATTCATTGTAAAGTCTCTTTATCTTGCCAAAGACATGTGCAGGGAGATCAATGTGAAGATCAGCTCTATTTCTTTTATGCTGGAAAGGGATATGCAGGTACTCTGAGCCACATCGAGGAAGATGTTTTCAACATCTGTACCTATCAACATGTTAATATTCTTAGTGAAAGAACTGAAAACTATCGTGAAAAAAAATTTATGTATATCTTAAACATATACCTCACTGAATTATTATAGCAGCAGGAAGTTACGAAATAAAAGGATTAGATAGCTGTAAGAATCTTAAAAGAACATCACCTTTCAACAAGGTTTCCTATATGAAATCTTAGATAACGTATGTAATTCTGAGAGTAATTTTATTCCTTCTCTTCCAAACAATAGTTAGGCCTAATACCACTATTATTTTATGCATTTTAAAGACTGCTGAGGAATAAGGCATGGTTTGGACTGATAATCTATTTTTTCATTTGAAAAATAAATGTAAATGATGTAGCTAGCTAGCCTGGCTTCTGAAGGGCAGGTTATGACAGACAGCACCATGTTTCAGAAGACTTAAATAGATTCCCTTTGAACCTAGAAGCATTATTTTGATTATCTTCACATTATGCATTAACCTGCAATTAAATGTATACAAGCAGTGAAGATTAAGTAACTTGCTTTTAAAGTTTGCCATCAGCTGATGAAGCCACTTAGTAGTTTAATATTGTAGGATGATACCTCCAATGGGTTATATGTCTCCCTCAATGAAAATGGTTTGAAAAGAGGTAGAATTATCTAAGCCTTCTCCATCATCAGCTTAGTTCTCTGACAATTTCAAATCTCCTAACGCTTGGAGATGCATTAAGGGAAGGCCCTGAACCAATAGTACATCCAGGACCCAAAAAGGGGAAGTCTGTCTTCCACAGAATAGGATAAAGCTTTGTCACTTCATGGGAGGGATAGCATGATCTGGTTTTCTGCAATCACAGGGACTTAACATTTTCAATGCTATCTTTTTATATATCCAATTGGAAGAGGAAGCAGTGCATTAGCACTTGTGTGCTGAAACAAAATAATGTGTAAAATTAGAAGATGAGATAAAATCATAGAGGGATTGTGACAGGGCCAAGTCATATTAACTAGAAAAAATAGTTTTAGATGATGAATAAGTTCAAACACACCACATCTGCTTCATGATCAAAAACAATAACTTCACTTGTTACATGAGCTTATTTAGAAAGTATACAGACTTTCCCTTAAATTTTGCAAGAATCTGAGGGTTTTGCATATACTTAGTCTGAAAAGAATGGTAGTGATCTTCAAAGTTAAACATTATTCTCGTCTCTACACAAATCAGGACTCTCATATGAATGCTTATCAAAAGCTGCGGTTCATATTTATAAATCTCTAAATCACAGGCTTGTTTTCTGTCTGAGTGTTTGATTCTGATAATACTACTGAGTTTAAGTTATGGGTAATTATAAGTTACGATCTACATCTGGAATTACGCTGGAATCTTTTCCTCATTACTCTGAGAATTCATCTGTAGACAACAATATGAAAAACAATCTTACTAAAAAAAGGTAGTTGTAAAATTAGCATTTATTGTAGATATGAAAGTTTGCTCATCTGAAGATGGAGTTTAGGATCTCTTTTTGAGAGAGGGTGAATCTGACAGAGTGTAATAGCATTTGACAGGCATGAGCTCACAACTCAAATTCATCAGTAGCTCTGTCTATACGCCTTATGCACATTGCTGTTTCCATAGCAACAAATTCAATATAACATTTACCTTTCTTTAAGGACTTTTTTTTCCATTTTGCATGATAACATAGACTTGTTTGATATGACAATAACATGAATATTCGTATTTTGCAACAAATGACCTAATTATGGTCAACTTCTGTCAGAAACAGTAATGAATCTTCAGATGGATTACCATTTACATACTCTGTAATGACTTTTCATTCCTATTAATGAATTTTTATTTATAGGTTCTTTTATCTGATGACCTTGATCTTCCAAAGAGATCCATCAGGGTGGATCCTTTCAAAGGGATGAAAACAAAATTGTTTATTTGGATGAAAGGGCTTATGTAGTGTATTCTAAAATGGAATACTAAAGCTTGAGCCTTGTCTCTTTTGATGGTCTTTCTGTTTTATAGAAACTAGGGAATGTACCATAACATTGCACAGTTCTGTAACTGTCTGATCCATTAATTTAGTATTTATGCATTGTTTTCATTCCTAGAAAATGATAGAAGAATTATAAAGGACTTTCTGACATTGGCCTCACAGAGGCCTGTTCTGGTGTTTAGTTTGCCATAACTAAACAAAAACAAAAAAAAAAAAAAAGGAAAAAAAAAAAAAAAAAAACAAAAAAAACAAAAAAAAAAAAAAAAAAAAACAACCCACAAACAAAACCCACACACTTTAGATTAGACAGTATTGCTTTGAATCCACTCTGTAGTAATATGCCATCAGCCAGCCATCACTAACCTTGAACCTCCATGTGTAGGTTGATAGCTTTTTTTAGCATTCCATCCTTTTCAGTTTCTCCACATCAACTGCATCATATTCACCAAGTATCAGTGTAGTTTATTCCATGTAAAAAATCTGTCAGTTAAAAGTATTAAATCTTCAGTCACACTTTTCTTTTAAGCATTCTGTGCTGTGTTCTGTTCAGTGTCAGTGTCTTTAGTTCTGATTTTTCAATTTTGTCCCTCTCCTTTTCCTTGACTTGTTAGTCTGATCCAACCTCTTCTACCTCATCTGATGATTATCAATATGTTATGGAAGCTAAACTACAAGAAATGATCTCCATACGTAGGAAGGTAGTCCTACTGGACTTTACTTTCTATTGCTAAATAGAATCCATATGATTTTTTTTTCTTTAACTTTCTTTAATTTTATTTTTTTTTATTGATAATCAACCATCGTGCAGTTCAGTGCTTCAGGAGCTTACAATTTTACGATGGCAGGTTTGTGTTCAAACCATGCACAGTCTGCATGTTACATTTGGCTGATTTCATTGCTCATAAATAAATCCAATGTTTTGCTGATGCTTGGATGTAACAGGCCTTTGTAGCTGACACATTTCAAGCAATGCTGTTCAGCTGCCTGTTTAAATAAAGTTTATTTTCGGAAAACTAAGTTTGCAGTTAGTAGTAGCTTGCTTTATGTTTTGTTTAAACTTTACTGAGATAAAAACTTATAAAGCCACTTAAATTACAGAAAGAGTCTTTCTGTTTTTTACAGGCAGAAGAAAGACATGGAAACATTGAGGAACGTATGAGACACTTAGAAGCTCAACTTGAAGAGAAGAATCAGGAACTTCAAAGAGTATGTGTATTGCAGACAACTTCTGTGCACTTTTCTTCTTTTAATTTGTCAGTATAGTGCCACATTATGCACTCCAGCACACAAATTTGTCTATTGGTAAATGGTATGTTGTTTATAGCAGTGATAACAGCATCTCCCCACTTGACTTAACTATACGAGTTTACATCTAGTTGCAGCATTCAAAAGACACTGTTGTTATAAAAACGGATGTGCATTAATCAGTAACTGTAATTACATTTCCTGTGGAATTTCTTTAGATGGCTACAGTGAGCGTAATATTTTTATTATATGAGTCTGTACTGGTTAATTTTAGACCCTATCAAACTGTCTCTTCTGTTCTACATTAAAGGCAAGGCAAAGAGAAAAAATGAATGAGGAGCACAACAAAAGACTATCTGATACTGTTGACAGACTTCTGACAGAATCCAATGAGCGGCTGCAGCTGCACTTAAAAGAGAGAATGGCAGCACTTGAAGAAAAGGTACATTGCAAAGAGTAGTATAATATTCAGCTTAATAAAGATTCTCCTGTATGAAATGTTCTACTTTTATCAGGATGGAGGCATCATGCTCATTTTGTATTACCAAATATTACCACAAATATTGCTCTACTTGCATATTGAACTCTTAATTCAAGGATCCACTCAAGCATCTTTCCAGAACTATTGTGAACTGGATGTGCTTGATATTATAAGTCCTTGTTTCATCAGCTCTGAAGAGCTTGTAAAGGACCCGTGCACGACAGAGTATGAGGCAGTGAAAGTGGACACGAACTGAAGAATGGGCACATTTCAGATGTGCTGTCACTCCTGTATTTTAACCTGCTGATTTTACCTCACTTTCTCTGGGAAGAGTGGAATGCTGTCACCACAGGAGAAGGAGCATCTACCCTTAGATGGGGAATGTTATTTACAGGTTTTTCATTATGTGAGACACAGTGGGCCTGCAAAATTCAAATCCCATGAACTTTATATTCACCCTCCTTAATCCCATCTTCTTCTACTTATTCACCTTCCGTTTGATCTGAGGAGTATCTCAGTGTCTTTCAGAAGGATATTTCAGAATATCCTCTCAGAGGATATACTTCTGGTTTATATCACTGAAACAAAATGTTGTATGAAGCAAAAAATAGACCCGCCAAAAGAAGAACCTGGGAGGAATAGTTGTGTAAGAGTGTGACAGTTGATCCATTCAAGAAAGATGCAAAGTTTGGGCTGTTCTTGAAAAAACATGGGCCTACATGTTTGGATTAATTCCAGTCTTTAAAATTTAATATATACTTAAACTGAACCATTAAAGGATTTTAATTTTGAAGTCCAGTGAATCTGAATTTTGCTAACTTGTACATGAAGGCTACATGTCTATGATGATATATTATTTTTAACATATCTCTAATTCTTTTACATTTCTAGAATGTTTTGATTCAAGAATCTGAAAGCTTCAGGAAAAACCTGGAAGAGTCTCTACATGACAAGGTACTATAAAATACTGTGATTTTTGTCTGGCTTTATTAGAGATTATAGGTTTATTAATTGGAAATATATATATGGCATATTAATTGTCTAACTAGCATGTAAAATTTTCCTGGCATCCATGATAATTCTTTTAATCACCCAGATGCTTTAACTTGCCTTTGAGGGTCTCTAACAATTGTTCTAAGCTAAGTTCATGGTCGAGAGCCTAGCCTCAGGAGGTCAGTACTAAAATTCATATTGATTTCACTGCCTCTGGAATTTTTATTCTATCAGTTTTAATTCTGAAAAAAGCCTTGTTTAACAAGGATGTATGTACAACTGGTTACACTTTCATAGTGAAGAATGTAATTGCTTGATTTGATGCAATTCTTCTTAACAGGTGCATTGACATTATGCTAAATATAGCTGAAAGTGGCCTTTCTTAGTTCATTTCAAATTAACCCCTAATACTGTTTAATGAATCAGTCAAAGTAATTATAAATACTTTTTCCAAACCCAAATGTTAGGATTTTGTTTTGCAGTTATACTTGCCTTGAGCACAGTACGATACAGAAATGTATCTGCATTCAGATTCACAGCAGTGTTTTTGTAGTGTATCAAATCCATTTAAAAGTGATTTTATAGAATTTAAAAAACATAGCTCCATTTGATACTGATATAATTGTATCATATGACATTCAGATTAAGAACTTTGAGAAGAATAACAAAAGAAGTATCTGTTCAAATAAATTGTTATTTTCATTACCTTCGGATAGTCCTGTAAAAAGACACTGAGATTAAAGTCCCAGAAAAGAGCTTGTAGTGCATTTTAAATAAATACAATTTCTGTGCGGTACCACCAGAATGAAGGTGATTCATGTCGCAAAATCAGGATCATACTTCACCATCAAGTCAGATAACACAAAGGACATTTCTAAACCTGTGTCAGAAAAAGTTTCTATCATTTTGCTACCAGGGAATCTAAAACTGAATTATGGGTATCAGTCCTGTCTGTATAAATAAGGTGCTTTTCCAATGTTATCTCCAACATAAATTTATTATTTTAATAGTGTTAGAGTGGAAGTGAATACAGTGGCTAATTCTTTTACAGACAGCTTTCTGGCTTGGATGTACATGTCAACCATTGACACAGAGTGAAAAATATGGTATAAAAATATAAATTTATATGGAAATAATTTTTGCAAAGATATTTTGATTTATTGTATTTATTGATTTTTGCTTAAGGGTGGGAAGCAAAATAAACAGAACACCTCCATTACTGCTCTGGGCAATTGGAGATGATTTCTCTTTACACACAACTACATACATCTGCTTGCAGAGCTTCTGAGTTCCCTATTTGAAGGGTTTATGTGTTCCACTTTGATGAAGAAACTGATTAAACGATTTTGCATTGATGTATATGACAACAGATATTAATAATTTTTAAATAACTAGCAAATGATACAAGTAAAGTGACCATCAAGTCATCTCAGCTATGCTATTCAACCAAGAAAGTGTAATAATACCATATCAAGAGTTCCTGAATTTGGTATTACTTAAGTGCAGATCCTTTTCATTCCTAATGTTTTGGTATACTAAAAGTTTTAAACTCTAGGAACAGCAGTGTTAAGTATTCATCCCATGTTCTTTTTTAATTTGTTTTAAAATTCTTTGATTTCATTTTATTAGGAGATTATAATTATTTGTACAATTTGAGGACAGTGTTGTTTTTGCAAGTAGTTGCTGTCAATAGTCTTTTTGTTAGTTGGTTCCAAAAATCCAGGTTTTGTGGCAAGCTGTCATTTTTCACCAGCAGCACCTCATACTGGAGAATAGCTTGTTCTGCTTTACCAGAACAATATCTGACAAAGCATGAGCAAATGTATTTTGTATCATAAGTAACTATATCTTACTATTCTTATTTCCAGGAAAGACTTGCTGAAGAAATTGAGAAACTGAGATCTGAACTTGATCAAATGAAATTGAGGGCTGGTTCTTTAATTGAACCCACCTTGTCAAGGTAATATTTTATAACAAAAGTTTCCTCACTTTGGGTTGAAATAAAACATAAATGTGTTAAGTCTTTACAACAGGGATGTGTTAAGATCATGCATAAAAATAGTAATGTATTTCTTTAAAAATATAAAGTCTGTGAAATTATTATTACTCTTGCTTTTCACTTTTTTCATAGGTAAGCAGGGCCTTATAGCAGGGAGTATACACTGAAATTAAAGAAATTCTTAAATTCGAGGCCAAGTGTGTGAGGTTCAACAAGGCCAAGGTCTGGGACCTGCACATGGCCCACAACAACCCCAGGCAGCGCTACAGGCTTGGGGAAGAGTAGCTGGAAAGATGCCTGGCAGCAAGGCACCTGAGGATACTGATTGTCAGCCAACTAAATATGAGCCAGCAGTGTGCCCAGGTGGCCAAGAAGGCCAATGGCATCCTGGTTTGTATCAGAAACAGTGTGCCCAGCAGGACTAAGGAAGTCAGAGCAGAGATGCTTTTGGAGCTGCCATGCTTGGTGAAGAGCAGCCTTTCTTGCTGGGTAGATGAGTATTGTTAGCTTGTGCTCTGTAAGTAAGAGCTGGATGACACCTTGCCAAAGGGCTGTTTGAGCTTCATAAGCTGTCTAAAAGATCTGGGAATTCAGCAGGTTCCCCTAAAACAGTATACTTCCGCTTCCATGACCTCGCCCTGTAGAGGTACCAGCCCTCTTAGGAACAGGGAGCTTTCAGCATAAATTGCTCATTGTTCTTAGGCCATATTCAGTTCTGTATTTGCAGGAGTTTGTTCTTTCAGCAGACTAATGAAGCTGGTCAGCAGAGAAATACCTGTTTCCAGAGACTCGAACCTGGTCTGTCTCTTTTTTCCTACCAACTTGCTGAATAAATGTCAAGTATTACTAATTATCTGAGCAAATTTCTGTTACAGCAAATACTATATACAGAAAATAAAAAACAGTTACTACCCTAAAGGATTTACTCTGTAACAGATGAGAGATATATGGACAACACAAATGTACAAAAACCCCAAAAGATTATTGTCTAGTGCTGTATATGGCCCAGGACATTTGTAGCCCAACTGTTGTCCAGTTTTCTTATGAGTATAATGACAAAAGTGAGTTTTAGAGAACTTTTTGAAAGGTAGAATCATAATTTTTCTAACATTATGGAAGTTTTGGGCATGACAGGAAGCATGCCTAAGAGAAGGTAAACTGATGGTTGTTCAGAAAAGGACATTTACGACAACAGCATGAGCCCTGATGTATGCTTTACCTGAAACCTAAGCTCTAAAACATTATTGTCACTATCTGTGACGTTTTAACATATCTGATTTGTTTACTATGGCACATACTCACATTTCAGGAATTCCATAACTGTTTTTAAAGTTGTTTTTTTTTTCTTCATGTGGTATTAATTTTTTATAAAATAAACTATATTAGCACTTGAAATCTTTCCATTACTGTTTTAGATTTGTCACAGTGCTTGCAATACCAGACAGTAATTACATTTCTTCATACCGTTCTGTCAAAGTAGCTTGTAGTAGAGGCTTTCATGTGTTTCCATGATCTTTTTGCATCTCCCATGTATCAGTAAACAGGAAACACAGTTGTAACATTTTATCTTTCACCTTTATTAAAGTAATGGTTGAAATTTGAGATGAATGCTTCAATCTTCCAGGTACAAGTATGTTTTAATTCAAATTAAATTCTTCTCAAAGAGAATCAGGGAACGTATATGTTCAGAAACAGACACAGAACTAGAGCTTATTTTTTCAAGAATAATGGAAGGAAAATATAGAGGATAGTACCTTCAGCAGCCAGTTCTTTTAATTATCCTGAAAGCCACTTGGTTTTCATGTTAAAGTTCCAGACAATAAATTTTACCATGCAAGACCTTCATTTTTAAAAATAAAAGGTTTAATTTGTTTGTTTTATTCCTTTGTTTTCATGTAATAGGATTTCAACTTTTCATTTTTCAGTTATATTTTGTGATGTGTTTTTGTCATTTATTGTATGATACATAATAATTTGTTTAAAAAGAGAAATTTGTGTTCCCAGACTAAAAGTCATTGAATTGCTGTTTTTACTACAGTTACTCTCTCAGTCTACTTATATGGCTCTTTTTATAGGCCCCACCTTGACACATCAGCAGAGCTGAGGTACTCTGTGGGTTCCCTGGTTGACAGCCAGTCTGACTATCGGTCAACGAAAGTGATAAGGAGACCTAGACGAGGCCGGATGGGAATACGCAGAGATGAACCAAAGGTCAATCCTCAATTTCTTCTCATATATTCCTTGACAAGAGAAAGTATTTCAGGCTGTCAGGCTTATAGTCTGTATTTTTCCAGAAACAAACAACAAAACAGACAAAATTTAGAAAAAACAAACAAACAAACAAACAAACACCAACCCACTAAACAAGAAAACACGACTCAAGTAGCAGGGTTTCTTTCTATACATGCTTAGTACTGTTTTACTAAAATGAAGACAGACAATGTTGAAGTTCAGACATCAGAGTTCAAGTATACTTGACTACCTGTCTTCTCTGGATATCTTTTTGTGTAAAATTTCCCAATAGTAATTTCACACACTATTTGAAATTATGTGAAAATACTTTACATCATTTGCAGTAGTATTGCAAGTGAGAAGTAGTACTGCATGGAGAATTCATCATTGAATAAGTATTCTTAAATGTTAGTTGCTTTCCTTTCCCATTTTATAGTTTAGCACTGCATTTTTTTTCCATGGAATAAGCCATATACATCCTAATTCCTGCTCAGGTAAAATCACTTGGAGATCATGAGTGGAATAGGACCCAGCCGATTGGTGTTTTGAGCAGTCATCCATTTGAAAGTGACACTGAAATGTCCGACATCGATGATGATGATAGAGAAACACTTTTCAGCTCCATGGACCTCCTGTCACCAAGCGGCCATTCCGATGCCCAGACTCTGGCCATGATGCTTCAGGAGCAGCTAGATGCAATCAATAAAGAAATCAGGTATGTAGCCTGAACCAGCTACAACTCACTTATGTTTACAGCTTCAGGCTTCCTTTAGTGCAAGAGTTCAGTTAAAATTCATAACAATTAGGAAAACACTTGTACATTTAAAGGATGGAAAATGTCTCTGCATTTTATAGGAGAGTATTGATTGTGTGAAGATAACAATGGCATCTTCATTTCCTAACCATAGCAATTTCTTTCAAAAAGTGTTCCAAGTGAAGAATTGCTGGCCAGTTGAAGAGAAATGCGTTAGAAAGGGCTAACACATGGCAGGTTTGACAGATCACTATTCAGAGTGCTCTTTTCAAGGTCTTTTTCACTGTTCTGCATGACTCCACTTCTTATGACTTACTATCAGAAATATTTTATTTCACTGCTCCCAATGCTTTCTTCTGGTAATTATTGCTGTGTTACATCTAATATAAGCCATGCTTTTACGACATGGTTTTGACTTTGTGGAGGCATAGAATGTGATTTTTCATGCTCTGGGTTGGGTTATAGCACTTGGAAATAGATGGTGAATGGAACATATCTTAATAATTTCTGTGCAAATTTAGTAGAGTGATAGAGAATCCAATGATATATGTTAATTAAGTGACTTCTATAAATGAAACCATAGTTTAGGCTTAAAGCATTCTTACATGTTTTTCAGGAAGGGTAGCTTTTTGAAAAAGTCTGTGAAAAACATCTTGTCATTAATGACTGTTTCTCTGAAAGGAGATGAAGGAAGTCCTACTAAATGTATTAGTGACTTTCTGGTAATACCACAGACAGAAAGACTGCTTAGAAATGGAATCAAAACCAGATTACCTTTGGCCAGATCTCAGTCCTTTCTCTGAGCCAGGTAACTTTAAAGGGAGAACTCTGTTGGCATATGCTGAATTTGGACAACTTTTCTGTTGGGGTTAAGACTTTTTGTCATAGATCTACATCTTTGCATTTTCATTACTCCCAGAATTTTTTTCATTCACATAGGATTGCACTGCTATTTTCTCAAACCTGTTATTTCACCTGTCAAGACAGAGTAAAAAATAAATTTTGTTGTTGGGAGAGTAAATCTCCTTAAAACAGTGTATGGAGAAGAGAAAACTTTATCCATACTTTCTGTTATTACAAAGAAGTCATCACTGTGACTAATTCAGGAAGTTGTAGATGCGGCAAATGTATTTGTTTTTAAAAATACTAGCATTTTGACAATTTAACAAGTAATTATGTAGTACAGTAAAAGATTTTCACAGGAAATTGTGCCTGCAGGTGACATAGAGGTACATTATTTGTGCCATGCTGAATCAGATCAGTGTTTTACTTAACATGGGATCTTAGGTGTTAGGTGTAGCTTTATCTCAAAAAGGAATTATGAACGTTTTTGTTAGAGGGCCACTGAGAGTACTTTATCTCCCCTACTGCTAAGCTTATACTGAAGTGTAGGCTTTCGTTACCATCACCATCATTATTAAAGAACCAGGTAACTAATTTTGTAAACATTTTTTTATAGATCTCAGGAAAAAATGGTTCTAAAAGGTATAGCCTTATAAACTGCACTGCACTTCACATTTCATTGGTTTGTTGGTTTTTTTCTTGATAAACACTATAAGGGTTTAAAAAATTATTGGAGATATCAAAAAGAAATTAAAACTCTATTTTGTGTTAGATTTGTTTTGTTGCACAAGATGATTCAGAATTTAGGTTACTGAAATTCCCTGCTTATGGCGGGGGGGTTGGAGTGGATGACCTTTGGAGGTCCCTTCCAGCCCAGACATTTTATGATTCTATGAAATGAAAAAACACTGTTGTGATTTCCTTCCAAAATATTATTTTCCTTTAAGTTGCTGCCATGCCTCATTTCAGAAAGACCTGTAGACATTCTATAGAAATTTTGAAATGGATTTTAGGGAAGATTTATCACAGCACAAGAATGTGTAGGTTACTATTTTCAACGTATTATAGTTTCATTTATTGTACTTGCTTCATTTCATTCAGAAAAGCCTGGTTCACAGTTTCAGCAAACCTTGTATTCTCTCATTTAACCTTGATCCTTCATGCTTTTTCCTCCACTTCACAAAAGAAGGATCCCTTTTAGCACAAGTTTATGGGTAAAGGGACCTCCAAACAGAAGCTTTACTTTAAACATATTTTACAATTCCAGGTGCAATTGCAATTAAAACCAGAACTGAAGAACACAGTAGAAGCATACTATTGAGGCTGTATGTGCCTAAGAAACATATTTGTTGCCAACAAGAGAGCTATTTAAATGAAATGCACTTAAAAACATAATGCTTTACAAACAGCTGACAATTTTTTCATCAGTTTGTAGGGATGAAATGGTAGAATTGTTCTGCTTGTTCTCTTGCTTTATTAATATGGATTATCTTAGCATTTCCCTTCTTAAAGGCCCAGTTTCAATTGCCTTTAAATGTGTGTTTGTGCTTTGGCAATAGAAAATCAGATGAAGACAACTTAAGATTGGAATTAGTTTTCTACAGTAAATCGGATTGTTAGCCCCCCTCCCCTATGCTGTCTCATTTGCAAAGGAACCAATCTTCCTGAAATGTCATATATCAAGTCTTGTTGGACAGATTCTTCAAACAGTTTTTGAGGATGGAGGAATTAAGAAAAAGAATTTTATATAATTCTGATGATTAAAAAATACCCTTTAGAAAATTATTTTGGAGTTGATCTATGATAGTCATCTTCGATTTCTTTTACATACAAATCTCATTTGAAAAGAACCTCTTTTTGGGTTTGCTTTTGGGGTATGCAGAGAGAAATCCAACCATGTTATTTTATTTAACAAGGTTAATCCAGGAAGAGAAAGAGTCGACAGAACTGCGTGCTGAAGAGATAGAGAACAGAGTGGCCAGCGTGAGTCTGGAAGGCTTGAATCTCGCCAGAGTCCACCAAGGCACATCCATTACTGGCTCGGTGACGGCATCATCACTTGCAAGCTCATCGCCTCCCAGTGGACACTCGACTCCTAAACTCACCCCTCGCAGTCCAGCCAGGGAGATGGACAGAATGGGGGTTATGACACTGGTAAGAAATCTTGTGATCCCAAGTTTAGGTGGGATATTTCTAGTATTAAATACTTCATCTTTTCACTCTGTGAATGGCTGATCTCTCTAATTCTTCATTCACCTCTTCATCATATATACAGGTAGCAAAATCCCTATAATTTGGGTGGGTTTGGGTTTTGCTATTATGTATTTGAGCATTGCAGGAATCACCAGGGATGTAATTACCTGAGGATCAAGGGCCTCCAGCATACAGGCAGCATGGGATCACTGATCACTGGAATTACTGTAATCAGTTTATATGTAAAAATTTATACTAATGAAAAACTCGGAAGTGATAGTTATTACACAGTAGTCTGTGGGACTATTGCTGAGTTTAAACCACCAGGAAATGTCTAGAAGATATTAAAGCCTTCTACTGCTTCATATATGTGATCATTTGGATATATGTCTGTATTTGGTATATTCTTTACACTTGAAGCATTCTGTATGTATTCTTTGTGACAGTATATCAAGCACTTGAAATAAGGGCTTTGTTTTCCAATAATTAATTTATCTACTATATTTCAATTTTACAAGCAGCACAGATAGATAGATAGATAGATTCCAAGCCATCAAATTATCATGCAAAGTATTTGTAATACTGCACCTGTGAGGACATATTCTGAAATGTCTGGTTTGATTTGAAACAAAAATTAATTCTGGTCCTAGACAAAAAGAAACAGTGCAAAAGTCAGTTAACTGAAGGTAGTATGTGTCCACGTATTTGAGATGTACAAGTCTGATATGCTAAATATGATAAAAGTGCAGATACAGGATTTGGTATTCAGTGTGGGCTACAAACCAGTTTGAAGCCTGGGTGATTCCATCCTTTAATCACTAGGAAAGAATCAAATCAGCCCATTCTGCTGATCTCTATATACAGAGAGGAGAATAGGATATGTGTAACCCCATTTTTTTATTTGCTATTTCTCTGGTAACCATAATGTCATCATGTCCCATTGTGGTACTTTCATGGGAAGCAGCAGCACTGGTTCCCTTCAAAGCCTCTCAGAAGAGGGAAAGTGAGCTTTGATCTCAATCAGAAAGTTGAAATTTACTCTCCTAGCTGAGAAGATTAGTAAAAACATCTGGGAGTGGAGCCTGCCGGTTCATTCTGCTCAGCTGGGAGCAGAGACTTTTGTCTACCATCATCTAGCTGAGTACTCCCTTTTCCTGGGAACAGATAACTGCTTGTATCCACCTGTCCCCCTCCCAGTATAGGATGGGGTTTGTTGCCTTCTTGGGAATGAAGATAGCAGAAAGGAGATCAGGGCTGGCAGGTGTGGCAGGCTGCAGCACTGATTCCTTGCTGTTCCTTTCCAACTGCTGAACAGCAGAAATGAAAATGTTGGTGGTGCAGAGTGTGGTGGAGGAGGTGGGTGCGCAGGCTGCCACAGTGCCACCGATTTGAGCAAAGCCCCACTTTCCCAAATAGGCTGTTTGGCTCCATGTCACCAGCCATTTAATCTAAGCAACCGGACTACAGGTAAATAGCAATGGCTAAACTGACCTTCCAGCAGACACCTGCACTGCCTGGTTGCCTTGATTTAGATGCAGTAGCTTTGGGTCAGTAGGTTCGTCGGGTTCAAATGCAAAATGACAGCATAGCCTCTGCAGTTCAGATGGCCATGGCCTCACTGGCATCCAGTTCTAGCTGTGCTAAAGCTCAGATGGATAAATTGCAGTTGAAATCTCAAGGTATCATAGGCTCCAGAAGTAGCACCTTGTTACATGTTCAGCAGCACAGCAAACAACTTTGCTCACCCTCAACCACTTCAGGTCAGTTCTGCCCTGCACTGTTTCAGCAGCAGTTCGGTGCTGAACATCTCCTCCTTACTGGTTGGGGGCAGACACAACAGGCTTTCAGACAGCCTCTAAATGGAAGCCCTGAGTTAGGAAGTGTTCTGTAGAGGTCTGGTTTCTAGAGTTGAGATTGCCAAATGATCCTGTAGAGTTTGGTTGGAGAGGCAGTACTGCATGAGTTTCCACAGCCCAGGTCCCTGCAGTAAATAAATTCTGCAGAGTATCTTCAGCTTTCCTTGAAAGAATGAGACGTCTACCAAAAACAAAAAAATAGAAAGCAAGAAAGGAAGGTTGAATAAGACAAATTTGAGAGGCCTTCTGCTGGCAAATATTGCTGCAGTACAGAAGATGAGTGAATTTGTATCCATTGACTGAAAATGCCAGTCATTTTGATGTGGAATAGCTGATGAGAAAGATGCCTTTTTCAGACATGGTATTTGTTGATGATATTTTGTGTTTATACTTGGTGAAGCACCAATACATTTTTTTTAACTTTAGATAAAACTGAAAAAAAAAAGAAAGAAAGAGAAAAAAAAAAAAGTCTGCGTTGGAGGTAGTGGAAGGATTCTTATATGAAAGATCCAAAACTGAAAAGTGCAGCTGTAAGCTTGCAATGTCCTATTCTTTGCTACACTTATGAAAATGAAAAAGATTGTAATTCTAGAAAAAACAACTGCTTTCCCAGAAAGGCGTATTTGTCAAGGGTTATCTTATGTTGCGACACCAAGTATGTAATTAGTATATAATATGCATAGCACTGAATTAATGAAATCTCTGCTTCCCAGTTCTGAATGTGAGAAGGAATGTGTTGCGCTTTGTTTGGCTTGTGTAAGATTTATTAACAATTCTTTTTTTGTTGTTGCTGCCTTTGTTACCAATATAAGCCAAGTGACTTAAGGAAACATCGGAGAAAGGTATGATGCTGTTTTGTTTTTTTTTTTTTAAAGTTTGGGAGAGAACATTTATCATATTCCTCTGCTATTTAGATGGCTGGGTTCCTTGCCAGCAGCTGCATCCCTTCCAGTCTTCTTCATTCAATTCCTGAACATAACCGTTTTAATCCTATCTGGAAAGGCTTGCAGGCGTCACAGCTAAGCCACAGAATCAAGGCCCACCAGTGATACCTTGGAGTAGTAGCCCCTACAGCACAAACTTAAAGGAATATTGTTCAAGAAACATGTGGGCACAAAAGAATTACCTGCAAATGAGTTTTGGCCATTCTTCTTGCTGGAGGAATGGGAGTTGTATTACTTGAAGCCTTCTGGAGCAATATAAAATTGTTTACAAAATTGGCACTGAATATAGGATATGTCTTTACATGAGAGAAAATGGTATTTAAGGTAAATAATTATATGCTGTGACAAGATTCCTTTTTGTTCATGCTTATTTTCAAGAATTCTGACCATTCTGTTAACAAGCTACGGAGAGAGTGGTCCTGTTTACGTCTGTATTTTCCTTATTCCTTACATCCCTGAGAAACTTTGTTTACTTGAATTATCTTCTTTAATGCAAGAGACTTGCTCGTGTCTAAGGTTATTTTCATATTTAGACCTTTACTGGATCTGTTTGGCTAAAAGGAATTAATTTCTTCTCCAAGTGTAATCTTTTCTCTATCAAATATGTACTTTAAACCGTCATATTTTGCCAATTGCTCTTTCCTAATAGCCTCTTTCAAAAACATGAATCCTTACAATTTGCTAAAAAAAAATGTACTCAAAACCATACATGTTTCAGTTCACTTGATAAATTTGTGCAGCATAGGTTGAAACTTTCTTGAAAAGCTAATCTGCTCTCAATGGAGTTTCTCTCCCTTAGATTGCAGTAGTTGAAGAAGATGGGCGTGAGGATAAAGCCACAATCAAATGTGAAACTTCTCCTCCTCCAACACCCAGAACTATCAGAATGACTCATACTCTTCCTTCTTCATACCACAATGATGCCAGAAGGTAAGATGTTTCTGACATGAATTGGTGCTTCACAGTTTTACCATGTATATATTGTTATTTAACTATTCCCAAATTATCAGATTTCTTCCTGTTTCTTCTTGGCAATTGTTTCCCCTTCCTTGGGAGAGAAAGCTTTACCCTTTGTCTCATGCATAACCGTGAAAACATTTGGCAGTGCTAAAATATCTGCTGGATATTTATGGCTTGAGGTACAGTATTGATCACTACTAATAGTGATACTGCAAATCCTAAAAAGAGAAACAGCAGACTGATTCCTGCATTTTTCATCAATTCTTAGCAAATTTTTAAAAATTATTTATTTTCAACCTTTTATTTAAATAAAAAACACTCAGCCTGATTGGGAAAATGTGATCTTGTATTGCTCTGCATGTTGCTAAATCGATTAAAGATGATATGATTGTTTCACTTGTTGGGAGATGATTACTAAACAATAATCAATTCATTTGTTTGCAGAGCTTCTTAAAACAAAGTAAAAAATTACCTGCAAATATTAACATGTTATGTATTCTATTTCTTTATTGTCATTTTCTAGTAGTTTGCCTGCTTCATTGGAGCCAGAAAGCATTGGTCTTGGTGGCAGTGTCAATAGCAGCCAGGACTCCCTGCACAAAGCCCCCAAGAAGAAAGGAATCAAGTCTTCAATAGGACGTTTGTTTGGTAAAAAAGAGAAGGCTCGACTTGGACAGCTCAGTAAGGAATTAGTGGTAACAAACCAAGGTCACCATTTCACAGTCATTTTTCCATTTTTCATTTTGCTTCTTTTCAGTTTCCAATTTGCTTCTTTTTTCACTTTTGACTAGCCAACCTTTCTCATTAAACTTCATTGCTATCAGCAACTATATTTCTCACGAATTTCCTAAGTCTGTAATGCAAATAAAAGGAGGCTTCTGGCACAAATTACTGGAGTCATCCTCTTCAGCCAACTTACTGCTTCAAGAGTGTCTTGAATTACAGTGAAAATGCTAACGGAGTATTTTCTAGTAACCAAAATAAAGAAGAGATAAGAATAGTAGCAAGTAATAAACCACTATAAGGGGCATGATGATGTGATATGGAAGGTCTGTACAAGAATAGTTACTTTTCAGATTTCAGTGTGTCAATAGATATCTGCTAGTGCCTGTCACTGAAAGTCTTCACCATACTCTTTCAATTAATTATACTGCTCATGGCAATGCCTTGTTTTCTTCCTAATTCTTCTGCCCCTTTCCCTTGCCAAGACCTCAGTCTAGTTCATTCCTGGTATTCCTCTGTGATATTCCATAGGCTATGCCTATACCACTTAAAAAAATCAGTCATTACATAACTTTTTAAAACTACCTTAGGGATCATAAGCAATGGAAGGTGAAGTGACAGTCTTCAGCAAAGGTTCATAGTCCAGCTGCTCAGACAGGCAAACACATCCTAAGATACAGCCTATATTGCCATGCTCTCTGATTTAGCTTGATTAAGGTTAGCATACACACACCTCAACACAAGCATCATATTGGAACAGATGTGTCAATAAAATAGAAATACTAGCTCTTTCCTAATCATGAAGATTTCACACAGTGCAAATTTGTGAGGCACTAAATTGTTACTGCCATGGTGACCACACAAGACCTGTAAAAGAAATTTTAAGGGTTTGCAGGCACTGTAAACACTTAAGCAATATATAAACCTGAAATTTAAAAACTAAATTAGTATTAAAACATGCCCTTATCACAATTAACAAGCCCGTCACTAAAATCAGAATAACTGAGCATTCTCCATTTATACTCTAACCTTTCTCCTCTCTGCCCATGAGAAGCTCGTGTTTTTGAAAAAAACCCACCTAATTTCTTATCACATTCTACATTCTCTTTTTTCTTACTACAGGAACAATAAAACTGATTTATTCAATCTTTTTCATAGTTTAATGTATTTCAGAATCTATTAAATGAGTCTCTCAAATACACCACCGTGTTATTGTCTGCACTGATGAGGAATTTTAAAACTTTAGACTGCGTTATTAATTCACACTTACATTCCATAAAACCAATTTTATTGATACTGATGAATTATGCATGATAATCTATGATTTCAAAGTAACTCATGAACATAGAGGACAAAGATGTAATAAATGTGTTGATCTTTCCTTCAGTTCCTTGCAATGTGGAATAAAAATAAAATAACAACTTTAAAGATTATCTCAGGAGTGATATAATCTAGCAATAGATTAATTTCTTAATAATACCCACCATATTAATAAGGCAGGTGTGACTGAATAAAATGTATTTGTAATACCAAACACTAGCTCATGAAATTGCAAAAAGATATTTGTGAAGATTTTCAATTAAATGAAAGTTTTGTAGCTTCTATCCTTTAGCTCAAGAGTAAAGATTTCAGTATAATGTACATTTTAATTAAGCAAACTATATTTATAGGCACGTATAAAATTCACAGTGGGATGGTTAACTGACCAAAAAGTAGGAGGAAAATACTTTTAGAAATTGAAGTCATATTGAGCAGCTGAATTATGGAGTAGTTTTTCTCATCTTAATTTTTAAGATCCCAAAAGAAAAACAAATATTGAGTGACAACTTCCATTCAATGGCAGTACTTAAAAGATAAAACAAAGACAAAACCACAAACATTCCATGACAGGTAGGCTATCTGTGCAGCTACATTATTAATAGTTGTGTTTATAGTAAGATACTATATGACAGAAATCTAGATAATAAGTCCTATCATTATTGCACTGCAGTATGTTTGTATGGTTTCCATAAGCTAAATGTACGATGCAAAATCAATGTAAAAGGATCTCATTTAATTCCTTTATAGAGATGCCTACTTCTTAGATTTTTGAATATGGAAAATATACTTTCTTCGAGGACATGAAATACTAAAAAGATAAGAAATATAATTTTAAGCCTCAGAAATTTTACTTTGTTTTCTTATGCATATTTGCACATGCACAGAATTACGCTTAAGGGTGCACTTTAAATGTTCATGTCAATGGAGAGGATATTAGAGATCCCAGGGATATTGTACAGTGTAAGAACACATAATAATTCTATAACTAATTCTGTAATATCTCTAAAAAGACATCTAATATATATGTACATACAAGAAGCAAAATTGGAATCTCCAATAACTTCAACAGAGCCAGGCTACCACTCAAAAGATTTCCTTGCTCTGCAGTCACTACAGAACTCTGAAATTATTAATATTCAACTGCTAAACTTGCCAAAGTTTTGTTATTTTATACCTTGCTACTTTTACCATCTCTGCTAAACCATTTGAGTTATTGTTCAAAGGAAAATTTTCACCTTAGGAGATCATTCTTAGAATCAAGATTCCTAGATTGTTCAAGATTGCTTTTAATTATTGGTGGAGAGAAAAGGAATGTTACAAGGAGAATGAGTGCCTTTTGTTTCTTTTTATTTCTTTGATTTTAAATGTATCAAATCTTCTCTCACTTGAGGAACACCACACTAGACACTTACATATTATTCCCATGTTACAATTTAAATAGTCTAGTCCCTAAAACAAGCAATACACTGCAGTGATTTTTAGCCCTGCCCTGGCAAGCTGATCTGTGTGGTCTATGCAAAGTCAGCTTGTTAGCAAACATTTATTGTGGCCATCCGCATGCCTAAGATACTGCCAGGCACAGTCACCACCTTCCATACAATGTACCCCAAGTTATTCAAAGGGCTAGATACATTTGTCTTATAGTGAAGTCCGTTATGCCAAGAATGCTTTCCAATCTATGATAACCCCTCACTGGACTGCACTCATACCATCTTCATCTGACATACTGCTAGTTGCTCTCTCGGAAAGGTGTGATATAGTAATACAGCAGTTTGCTAAATTAAAAATGTAATCCCTAGTCAGCAAGAAACATTTGATGAGATGAACTCTGTAAATCTTTGAAAGGCAGGTGAAGTAAAGCAATGTATACATTCACGTTTTCTGCATTTTGCATTGGAGGCATCATTATCATTTCATGAGACTTGCAGTGGTGCCCTCTTTAATTAAAAAAAAAAAAAATTGTCTTGATGAGCACGAGTGTTGAAACTACACCTGCTTTGAAATGGTAGATTAAAACCAAGATTTCCTAAGTTAAGGTCATAAACATGATACACCAGCAGGTTTTGTTCTCGCTCGATTGAGGCGCATGTAAATGTGACTTGTGATGCTGTTTCACTATATAACATTTACACATTATTTAATGGTTAAAACCAATGAATCAGAATAGAAATCTTTGAATTTATAACTTGCTTTCTTAATTATGTCAATGTCCACTCTACAATTGTTCACTATCCTTTAGCTCAGAAATAAGAAGTTGCTATTGCCAAATAGAGTCAAGCACCAACATTTACCCTACTGTTGATGTCCTTCTTGTGCCAGTTACCTTCCGAATAGCAGCACAGGGGGAAAGCAGCCTTCAAAAGTGCTGCAACTCCTCTGTCTGTGTGCATGTGCAAATGAAAAGACAGCATAGAACCAGAGCCAGGAGATGGGCCTGACAGCTCCATGAGCAGATCTCTTCTTCCTTGAATCCAGGCAGTGATAAAAAAGTCAGAGCATCTTTCCACTTTTGCACTAGGAAAGTATTGTTAGTGGACATATTGTATGATCAGCATGGACCACACAGTACCAGTCATGTCCTTAACTTATAATATGATTTTATTTTGGTCCAAGTTTCTTTGCTCACTGCAGACTTCTCTTGTTGCCCTGTGCAAATTATTCATGTTCCCATGACTTTGACAGAAATGAGCTGCCTGTGAGACACCTCCAGGGAGACCTAGGAGACTTTTTACTTCTCTGACATAGTCGTTGTGTCATCTCTGGTTTGGGAGTTTGCAGGGTTAATGACATGAAAGACTCAAAGATTCTCTGTGTGAGCAAAATAAAGACTTTTGTAATCTGACTTTAAATGATGCTGTATTATGTCAATAATAATTAGGTAGTTCTTGAGAAGGCACTTTCATTTGTACATTTCCCAATTAAGATTTAAAAAAACGGTAAAGTCATTGCTTGCTTAGGGCCATGTGACTGTGCCATATGAGGCAGAGAAAAACAGGCAAAGGAGGTCAGGGTGCTCTTCTCATACATTTCTGCTAAACACAAGAAGGAAGAAACAATTTTTCCCTTTACTTTGACTCTTTTCCATATAGTAAAGGCTTACGAGAATTTACTTCTGTAGGTGGTAGATGTTCTTCCCAAACACTAGATGTCATGACTTAAGGAAGCACACACAGATGATTGTGATAGGTGGGAGTGGGATTGAAGGGTTGAGGAGGAGGACAACTGGGAAGAAGCTATGGGAAGATATGGTGGTGGTTGTTTTGTTTTCCAGGAGGTTACATGGAAACGGAGGCAGCAGCTCAGGAATCTCTAGGATTAGGCAAACTTGGAACCCAAGCAGAAAAGGACCGTAGACTAAAGAAAAAGTGAGTACCTTTTTCATGTGACTTTTATTGGTTCAAACCAGATTCAAATGTCAGTGTTTGTGTGGTTTTATGCAGACATGTAAAGAAAAGCAAGACCATCTACTATGGCAATTTACCACTTTGCATTTTTTTTTTTCCAGTGTAACAGTTTGTAAAACTGCACATAAAATACAGGGAAAAATATTTAGTCTGTGAGTTATACAATAGTGTTTCATTTGTGAAAGAACGTAGGTTTATGAGAAAGAGGCATGTTCTATTTCACATTTTCATTAATTCCATGCTGTTTGCCTTCTGTAAAACTCTTTAAAAAATAGGCAGGTATTTAATGACTTACTATTTAGATTTTTTCTTTCAGAAGGGAAAAGATTTTTTTGTATTATCTATTGAACATGTTATTATTTCTGTCTATAGAATTAAAATGCTCCCCATAACCCCTAACAGCTTCACTTTCTTTCTGCCTGTCAGCAAATGGCAATATAGCTTTTTGTTTGCATAAATTATACAGTAATTCAATACTATCTTTGCACCTCCTTGTAAATCCAGTACACTGACTCATAGCAGCTGCCAGAAGCTAAGTAGAACTATTAAAATAAAGCTACAAACAGAAAAGAAACCTCTTGGCAGCCTCATAGTTCCAGTGTAATTAGAGGGTGTCAGAGAAAAAAGATGGTGCTTAAAAATGATTTGGTAAGTTCATTCTGTAAACATACAAGTTTATTTTTCATCCATAACCATTAATTTTAGTGCTATTATTTGGATCCTGAAAGCCTCATTTTTAAAATTTCTAGGGTTTACAGGTTACTTTCAGTCTTTTAATATTCCTTTGCAAAGTTTCAAGAGAATTTGCAATTCTAATCCAAAGAATCTAGTGATAATGTTTCAGCTTCCTTTCAAATTTATATGTAGATGTCCTGGTTCCGTGTAAAAAGGGGTTCAGGGCAGGACCCACACGGAACAGAACTATGTACTCGCCTCTCCCCCCCCGAGAGAGAGAGATACTTTGGAAAAAAAAATGAAGTATATTGTTCAACAAGGAACAGAAAACGAAAAAAAGGAGGTAAGGAAAATAATATATACAAAGATTAGGGGAAAAATACAAAAAAATAAAATATACAAAACCCTCAGAAATGGTTCCAGGGTCCCACGGAGTGAAAGGACAACTTTCCTCTCCAAGATCCAAGGCAGGAGTGAAATTGGAAACCACTCCCTGCCTCTTATCAGAGTGTGTGTGGGAAGGGGAGGGAATACAATGGTTTCACCCCCACCCGGGGTCCTCCCAGTTGCTGGAAGGTCACGCCCCCATTCCAAGCCTCAAACCACAACAGTAGAATATTTTTAATCTCTACTTTCATATCAAGCTCCTGATGAAATATAACTTTAAAGGTACAGATCCATGTAATGTAGAAATGTAAGCGTTCCACTTAAATCAGCCTTAATTTATCAATTAAAGATAGAGAAGCAGTCAATGTGCAAGCTGAGAGAGAAGTAACATTTTTAATTCAATTAAGAAACTCACAATAACATTCACAGAGATATTGTAGTTGACTCTTGTCCCTGTGCTTCTTATCTATATATTTTTATCACTCATTAGTCATTCAGAATTATATGGATGTAAAAAGCATATTATTTTTTTTTTTTTACTAAATCTAGAAAGCATCTTTGAGACTCTCATTGCCATTCATGAAGAATATCACTGACTTTTCAGCAGCCTATTTTTTTTCCAGTCCCAATTTTTCTACTGGTTCTACAGAGTGAAGGTAGCACAGTATTGGAATTGCTTTAGAGGGGCAAATATGTTCACTTTGTCATATGTTAGTTCCTTAAAGTGGATAAAATAACATAGGATTTGGCACATCCTACTGCACACATGACATGACTGCTTCATCTGTGACAGTGGCTACCAAGTTTTTGGTCTGGAAATGGTACATATACAGGTAATCTGTTATTAGGCTTCTGTCTAATCTCACACACTTTCCCATGCTTTCTGCTTTTCAAGTCTTTCCTTTTTTTCTCCTGTGTCTCTCTGTCCTTGGTTCTTTATGGATTGGATAAAATCAAAATGTTCTCTGGTGGAAGGAAAGGAATCTTTCCTTTGTGGCTATGACCATTCATCTAGTCTGAAATGCATATTATTTGTCCAAAGTATATGTTATATACCTATGTCTTGAAGGTTTTTAATTTTTTCCTAGTTCCTTTAGATTTGTCTGTCTTCGTAGCTTCTCACTTTGGGATCCTTACAGCTGCTTCTAACATTCCTCTTAAATTACTATCAGAGAAAGGTTAATATACATTTCTGGTTAATATATTTATATTATGTAGTTGTAGAGGAACTATAATATTGGAAAAATTTCATTTTTTTGTTAGAGATAATTCAGTAGAATCTCATGTATATGATAGTCATTAGGGTACCAAGTGAACAATGGGGTGTAATAGAATTTTCATTTCCTTGTAAAAAAATGCAGTGAAGTATTTGCATATCTTACCTTTGGATGTATTACATTAAAACAGTCCAGAAAGTCATTAAATGAAAGGCTTGTCTCAGAGAGTCAGCTTCCTTTTTGCCAATGCTTAACAACGTACAACTCCTTCTGGCAGCAGAGACTCCAAATACATGCAGTAGCTGCAAGTTTACTGATCCAGGGGCTGCAAATGAGCATGCTATGTTGTCTAACATTAAGGATGGTAGTAGTGTGTATGAGGTCTTAAGAGAAGTCTGAGAATCATTTGTTATCTCATGATGTAGCAGTAAGGTGTAAGTCCAAGCATTTGATTACTTTTTACTGCTAAACAGGCCCTACAAAACCTGCTGAGACAGTGAGCCCAGTCAGTCTCTGGAACAGAGAGAGCTGAGCACTTCAGCTTGTAAGCATTTCTATGGCTAGTTTAGATTAGGATATAAAGCCCCAAGAGAACCAGGCCCACTAGAAGGATGGTTAAAGGATAGGCTAAAGCACAGAAGCACTCATTGTATTACATTCCAGGTCTGGGAGAGCCTTCTTTATGCTGGCTTAGTAACCTCCTTAGGGAAAAACAACAACAACAAAAGAAGTGATCCCAGAGCCAATTTATTTTTCTATAAAACAGGAATAAAACCACTTATAGAACTTGTATTTCTCTCTTACACATGTAAGTCAAGTGAAATGGCTTTCAGCCTTGTTAACAGCTTGGGAAACTTCTCTTTCAATTAAATGGTAGTTCTGATGTGGAAAAGCAAAGATTCTCCCCTTGACATGAAAGCAGAGGTTTGATTCATCACTGTGGTCAAAAATATTCTCACAGTACTCATAAACCTCACCAGAGTTTGTAATAAGCTTGGAGTTAGTAAATTAAAATTAGAAGTTATTATGAAAGGACAAATTCCTGTTAAAATGTTATCCATGGTTTTCTTTCAGTTGATTTAATCTCTTAAGTGAAAAATACCTTAACATGCTAAAATTCTAATCTTGCATTTTTTAATGTATTCAACTTCATCAGTAATGCAGCAAGGATGCCCCTACCCCAGGGATGAGGAAGCACGATGACTCAAATTGTCTGCTGCAGCGGCCAGTAGGTACTAAGGGGACACCAGATGTCCTGGCCACCCACTCCCTGAGTAGCAAGCACCTGCACTGATCCTGCTCTGGCCTCGTGGAGTTGCACATTGCAGTGTGTTATACTATTTTAGTGCAGTTTACATGCATAGCATTGATTACTGAATAACACATGTCACACTGAAAAGTTTCATGACAGAATATGATCATTCCAGAGAACAGTTCTCTCTCTGGTGTTTATAGCGTCATTATCCTAAATTTCAAATTTTTCTTGCTTAAAAGGTACAATTTAAATGTAAAATCTCTTTCACTTTCAATTGACTACATAGGCATCATTAAAATATAATTAAGTTTGTCTCAATGATATGCCAGACATTTATAAACCTCAAGCAAGAGTCTATTCATCCAACATTTGGTTACTACAGTAGATTTATTAAGAACGAGATTTTCTCCTAAGGCATCAAAGGGAAATCAAGGAAGCTGTGTATGTGTTTTTTTAATTAGAGTCAACGTGTTCCTAAAATCATCTGAAAAGACAAACTTAAGTTACCTGAATCATCCATAGATGTTTATTCTCACACGCTAAATGTATAACAGCTTTCTAAGTCCTACTATTTGTAAATTGATCATGCAGTCCAAGAAAACAAAAAAAAAAATAAAATTGAATGTCAGGGCTATTTAGAATGTTTAGGATGTTATTCCACTATTTCGTGAAAATAAGTAATGTTGGTGTGTGACAAAGTATAATGCATCGTGGGTTTATTATGTAAACTAGCTTTTATATTCCACTTCATTTGTTTCATACGAAAGCTGTTAACATTTCGTATATATTGTCTTCTGCCTTTTGTGTGACTCTCAGAGCCTGCTTGCATAATGAATAACTTCTTTAAGAAAACCAGTTTAGAACTAAAAGCAATAATGGTGCTGATACTCTCTTTTTCACCATTACATTTGAGTCTCCTGGTGATTCAAATAATTTGCACTCATTTAAGTCATGTTACCTGGTTAAGATATACTTTGTAGAAGGCACCCATCACCAAAATGAGGAATGGAGCTTTTCCATTAGTACTTTTTTTTTTTTCTAGTGAGTAATCAGTCTCCCCATGATAAATGGTTACCTAATTTCCAATTCTGAATTTTGTACGCACCTTCTCTCTGTGACAGTGTACTCACTATCACAGCTGTTTATAAGATTATTCTTCATGCATGTTTTTGCACCAAATAACGTTGTGGAGAATAATAAAGATTAAATGCTATGAAGTCCTAGGTTGCCACGCAGAGGTGGATTTGACGTGTTAGTATGCTGCTAGTACAGTTTGAGACTGGCCTTTGCCATCGCTTCCTCAGCAATTTCAAATACAAATTACCTCCCTGAATAAAAAAAATTTACCTGTAAATCAGCTGACCTGTATCGTACTGACAGGATTCCAGACCAGAAGCTGATAAATTCCTCAATTTATTAATATGAATGTTCAAATAACAATCATTACTTGCCTTATAGCTTATGAAATAACTGTACTGTGTCATAGTGCTATTACTCCTCATCATCCTGCAGGGTTAGGATGAGTCAAGAGCAAAGCTTGAGCTTCACTTTTCTTCTTCAGTTGTTTTCAGTTTGACTTTGGACAAGAATCTATTAATTGCAAATTTCCAAAATAAATTTAAGAGGTGAGGTTTATCTTTTCCAATGAAAATTAAAATAATTCTTTCCTGTGAACCTGTTTTGGGAAGCTTTACTCCACAGGTACAGGTTTTTGTTTGCCAGATCCTGCCTTCAAGTGGATTGCAGAAAAGCCTTGATATGCCAGGACACATAGATACACTTACGTAACACGAATAAAGACTTGTAAAATCAAGACCTAAGTAATTCTCATATGTAAAATCCTGTTATAAAGAGAAATTTTTGGTATTCATAGCCTTATAATTAACCTTGCAGAGAGAATTGTGATGCTGTTAAATCTCAGATGACTACAGCAATATACATATAAAACAGCAGTAACTTCTATATGGACAGAAGAGAATGTTGTATTAATTAAATCTTCTTCCTTCCTACCTAGAAATAAAAGGATAAATATTGATAAGTTCCTTTGCTGAATTTGACAAATTCCTAATAATATTTCAATCCTTTTGGTTTTGTTTGCATATATCCTTTAAAAATTGGGAGGTGATAGAGAAAAGTCACAAAAAAAAAAAAAAAATAGGCCTTATGTTGTGGCAATCTGTATTTAAATAAAATCAGTAAAAGAGAACAGAACACTGGGACTTCCAGTTTTTTACACTCCGGTCTCAGCTTTACATCCCTGAAAACAGACTACTTGAAAAAGAGGTCTAGGTAGATCTTTTTGTGGAATAAAAGTTTGAAATGCTGTACTTATCATTTAGTTGCTTTTGAATCCACACAAAGCCACTTTAATTAGGTTTCATGTGTGCAAGTCCAATTAGAATTCGACATAGTGTATTTGTGATACAAATAATCTCTGTCCTCTGCAGTGTATAAATAGTTGTTTCTAATGATTTTCTTAATTGCACACATTTTGAAAAAATTGATCCAATTGGTTTAATTATGGTCTTTTTCTGCTCAGTCCATGTAACGTTCCTATATGCTTAATGCTTATTACACCATTATATGCTAAAGGTCCATGATTTATTTTTTTACAGTAGCTCTTAAGAATAAAATGCCTTTTTTCCCCACCAATCTTTTATTTATTGAATATTTAGGTAAAGTCAAGTTTTCCATTTAATTTTTTCCTTTTCTACCTCATCTATGAGAAACTACATGATGTTATTTGTACCTTTCAGATCTTTATTTCTTCCTCCCTTTCTAGCAAACAATACTGTGTTCAGCAGAAATTATTTTCTATTATCTCATTCCAGTGGAGGAAGGAGAGTTCTTCAGTGTTCTGATATGCTGTTCAGGATTGTCTGCTGCATTCACCATGATTTTCATAAAGATTAATTTTCTCTTTAAACTTAATTATTTTAACAAATGTTTTTAACACTTACTGGAAGACCCTTTTGTCAGTCAAAGCTTTTGCTTAAAAATGTATCTTGCTATTACATTAGCTATTTGGAGTCTTTTTAGCATTACAAATGTAATGATATATGGGTATTTATCTTGCAGAGGATTACTAAAGCTTACTCAGAAGATGAAAAAATTGATACAATGTATTTTATTCTGTATCTAACTCATAGTTTTAAACATCTTGGTTTCTAGAAAATACTATTTTTATCCTTTGTCATTTTTAGGAAACCTTTTCTTCATAAATGACAAAGATACTTGTATCAATGAGTTGCAAGTTTTTAATAAAAAGAACCAGAACAAAGCCCTAGTCCCTGCCTTATCTGCATACATAGGACTATCTATTGCAATTGGGGATCTCTGGATAAATATAAGCATCCATCCTCATGCATGCAGCTGGCTCTCTAAACGATGATCTCTAGCAGATGCAAATATCCTGTCAGATTAACTGTAGAATTAGGGTTTAAGGGAAGAATGTATAAAACATAGCAGAAGAAAAGAAAATTCTGCATAACTTTTAGTTTAAGATTAATGTCTAAGGGAAATAGTTGTGTTCCTTCAATAAAGTCATGTTAAAATGGTTGTCTTATGAAAAGTGAAAGCCAGAATTTTAAGATCCATTTCTTTTTCTGCTATATTTTATTATTCTGTGGATAAGATGCTCAGGAAGTGAAGGAATGTCCCTCAATCCTCTACTTCTACCATGGGTAAGACTGGAGTGGCCTTGAGGTCCCATAGGTTATCCCCAAGTGACTGCAATCTACCAATTCATTAAAGCTGCCAGAAAATTACTCACAGTGCAATTAATCCCTCTGTTTATTTCTCTCTACCCACACCCAAAGAAGTGTTCAGAGGCAAATATAAGTGGGAATTCTGTCTCAATAGACTCTGGAAGGTCCAAAATTAAAAGCTTTATCAGCAAAGGTATTTGAGTCAGCCTTTACAGTTAGCTCAGTAGAAAATGAAGACGAATCATGAATGCGTATTCAATTTTAGTGCTGCTTCCATCAGATTTGGAAATTGAATAGTTCCCAAGTCTTTTATTTATTTTGAATACCTTTGTTGTCTTTTCCTTCCTTTCTTAAACTTTCTGTGTATAAATTTGTTATCCATTTCCATCTACTTTTCTGTATCACACTCTCTCTCCTCTCTCCCTACCCTTCTACTGATCCCACACAGATGAAAACAAAATTTAAAATCTTCAAACCAGATCCCTCCTGAAGTCACTGAAATGTCTGCAACCTCTTCTTAATTAAACAGAGTACAGGCTTTTCACACCCAAGTTTTCTACAGCTATATCTACAAAGCAATTTTATATCTCTGTAAATCATTTGTTAATAGAAATATAATATTCTGAGATGTCTGGGTTTCATTCAGGCATATAATTTTCTTTTTATGATGGTAATTAAAGGATGCTGAATAAAGTTTTTTATCGGTGATGGCATCCCACTTTCTCCTACAGATACTGTTATCAATTATATTGGCAAGAATAGGTTACCTAGAGGGCAAATCACTCATAGTGGTATTTCTACTAATCTAATATTAGTATGACTGCTCAAATAAAAATACTGCATGGCATGAATAACTATTGCAAATATTAGTCACCTATGCACATGAAATCAGCATACTTAACATAAAAAATAATGAAAAAACAACCCCACAAAACCATGAGTGTAGGTCATTTATCATTACTGTTAGACGTTTTGCTAAAATATTAGTAGAAAATTAGTAAAATTAATAAAAATTACATAGAAAAATGAACCTTGGTTTATACTCGACTCAATTTTACTGTGTCTCTATAGTAACTTGCTTAAATCCACAGGCTTGGTATTTTCAGGATTTTTGTTGTTACACAAACTTCATTATGAAATTATTCAAATCTGGGCAAAATGCTTTGATTTGAAAACCTATTCCAGGTTCACTATGTTTACACATCTTTGGCACAAATGTCTGTTGTAAATGGTGGATGTGCTGTGCTGAGTGGTAGCTAATAGCCAGCATCAGTTTAATGAAAATCTCATTTTAAAAGATGCATCTGTTCTTCACAAGAACATTTAACATTTTAAAGCATTCAAAGACCACTTAGATTTCTATAGTTATAATGGTGGTATTATTTTATCTATCATATGATTTTATTTTTTTTTTTAATGGAGTTCTATATGTTCATTAACATTTATGTGCTTTTTTTTGTTTCCATTCATCTCTCTCCATCTCATGAAAAGCATATCTGGGTAAGTCAAAATACCATGGCTGCTGAACATATTCATTTTCAGCACCATGTTTATTTTCTATGTTTTATTCTTATTTACTTTTCTTTTTCTGTGAACTTTATGTAGCAAACCCGTGCAGAAAACTGACCCAAATGAAAACTTTCAAATTATTCAACATAATTATAAACTTCAGAAGCATACACAAATTAAGGTCAGGACTTGCTCCTGTAGGGCTCAACCTAATGGATAAAATACTTGGAGATAACTGCTGTTGGTTATGGTGTTTTGCTTTTTTTTTTTAAATAAGCACATTTTAGGAGGTCTAAAGCCCAGAATCAGAAAGACATTTGAAAGTTTAAGTCAGTGAAAAAATCGTGAGAGTGTGGGCCTAGATTGACGAGTACTCTTAGGGCACAAATTATATTTAATTAGATCACAGAGGACTCAAACTCATAAACACTGTAGTGGTGTACTCCAGAATATATAATTTCTTTTTTTCTGTTGAGTCTTCATGCTGTGTAGTAGTACAATATTTCATTTGTGCATATAATTTTAATATTTTCTTTTTCACCAGTTCTTTTGGTTGTTTGGTCGTTTATTGGGGTTTGGAGGTTTTTTTAATTGTTAACCTGATATTGAATTTAAAATCTTCATCTCCTCTTTGATTTATCATACAAATTATTTTTTTTCTTGAATTGATTTTTGAAACTTAAGGAGAAAATTTCGTCCATTCAAAACATGTATGAGCTGTAACTTTCTAAACGTGTAAGGACAAACAAACTCAAAACCAGGGATTGCCACATTAATTTATAATATGTCATTATGAAGTGGCTTTAGAAAAATAGATTTGATAACATTTAATAAACATCAGAATTTCAAGGGTCTCTAATCTAGTATAGTACATACAAGATTGCAAGGCTATGTATTATGCAAGCCTGTTTATTTCATGAGTGTTTTATTTTTTTTTAATAGTTCTCAGCAGCTCTAATTTGTTAGGGTCTGTATGAAGCATACCTGAACATGCTTCATGTAGTTTAAATTTATTTTAGTTTTTTTTTTTTCATGTATTTTAAATTATTTTTAAATTTTAATTTATCAGTTACATCTTGATTTCTGTATTTCAGTCATTTTTTTCCAAATACTCCTTAAAGACTGCAGTAATTAAAAACAGGGTCAGATCCTGTTTCAGCTTTGGCACTTAAGTGACTTAGCTTTTAAATAATGTGAAATCCTCATTCTTTCTCCTTTTTGATACTTGACATAACAGTCAGACTGAGAACAATGGGCAAAATTCAATTTCCTTTTTTTTACGAAATGTTTTGTATCCAACTTTAAGTCACATGGATTCTTTCAGGTTAAATTAAATCAGCATTACATGGCAATATCAAGTCCAAGACTTTCTTTTTTTCCTACTTCCTACTTTAAAAACATTTTAGTCTTTCAGAAAATATGTAGATAAAATTTGACTTGTTATTTGTTATTGGACATTTAATACCATTATTTATACAAATTCAGCTATCGTATTTTGTCATACAATGACCTTCGCTATAGGATTCTCTTAAATATATAGCAGATAACAATAGAAAAGATAAAATCCAAATCCAGCTTAGTTCATTATAAATCCTCTCTCTTGCATTGTGGGGTCTTTGAATGTGAGTATGTTAGCGTTGGAGAGGCAGATGTGTTTAATCCTAACTTTAAATCATAGGATTACCTAGATGAATAGAGCATATTTGGTCTATCGTGTCTATTTCTCTTCCAGAAACCAATCATGTATAATAATTTGTTATAAACTAAACATTTTAGTATTCATGATAATAATAAACTTGATAGTGTCAGTAATAATAATGATTAGAGGCTCTGCTAGGTAAACACTTCCATCTGTTATCTTTTTGAGAAAATGCCTATGAGTAAAGTGCATTTCATAGGATCTAAATTGCCTATGAGCCAAAATTTTTAAATAAATTCTGCTTATATTTTACTAATGTGATTCAGCTCTTGACTTCACTGTGCCTCACTTTCAATTTATCTCACATTTATGTTTACATTTTAACTAAATATGCACAATATATCCCTTAGGACTTTTCATGTGAACCCTACTAGGACTATCAGAGTAAATGCTATTATTTGCAAAAAGATGAAAACCTGTGTTGAAACATTGTTCAGGTTTCATCAAGACAATATCTGGACTTTTTGTGCTACACAGAGTGTTTGCATTATGTGTATAAGAAATCCAAAGCTGTTATTTCTTGTTTGGTTCATAGGAGGGGGAGCCTCATCTTCGTAAAAAAAAATTGAATGTCATTGAATGACAGTAAAGATCTTGTTAACTTCCCACACAGAGTCTATTTAAAGATTATTCTTGTTTTTAATAAAGTTCATTGATTTTTATGCAATGAGTTAGCGAGGGCTGTTGATACATGGCTAGAATTTTCTCAGTGCAAGGGAGGAATATATGTTAATAACATACTCTGGCTCTTATAATTTACCCTTTCACTTGGCTCCCAAGTATTTCTGCTGTCCAGAGGGACATCAAAGCATTCATAGTCCCCGTAGTACAACACAGTTGTGCTCTCAGCTTGGGAAGTTGATGATGATTTGGGCAGTTGTACCTGGCTCTCAGAAAAACAGTGCTGAAGAAAATTACCAAGCATAACAGTATCCTAAGGAAGTAATTTTGGGGAGAATTGAACATAAGAAGTCAGTGCTGGGGAGGCAACCCTGCTTCTCTGACACACAACTCCACATGCCATGACATGATTTTTTCTTCTTTGTCTTTGAAGAAGAAGACTGAAGACAGCCCACTTTGAGGCACTCTCCCTAAAACTGGCAAATACAAGCACCTCTCAAATTTTGGATAAATGCTAAAGAGTTTTTCATGGCATTTCCTGACTTTGTAAAAAGCAGGCTCAGGGTAATGATATATTTTAAACACCATATTGCAGTTACTGCCATAATTTCTTCAGGAAGAGGATTTTATTCTTGAACAGTAATAATGTTATCTTTAAAAATACAGCTTTAATTTGGAATTCATTCCAGTGCTAGTAAGTGGTTTAAAGCCTTATCTGATAAAATAATAGCTTTTATAGTAATGCCTAATTAATGTCAATTCTTCCTTATCAGCTTGTTTTCATACATTGCCAAAAAACTAAATAATCATGGAAATAATTACATTTAAATTCCCTTCCTCCTTACCAATGCAAAGTGGACACATTATAACATGTAGTACTCTTCTGACAAAGTCTTAGGAGGAGAAAATCCCCATGTTCCCCTGCAAGCCATCTTCCAAATTAGAGGAACCATATAATGCTATTCACAATCCTCAAACCCTGTCTTGGTAATGAAAGGAAGAGCAAATGACAAGCCTTAGGGTATTGGTCTCTTTTTTCTCTTGTGATCAGTTGTATGTTTTTGTAAGGAAAATTGAACTGCAGTTACCAATATTTGGCTTGGGGGACCTTTTCAGGAAGTCAGTGACTATCCCACAAGGACAATAGTACATTCAGGCTGTTCTAAAATATTCAGATTATACTCCAAAATAGGCAGGTCAACACATTCATTTTTTCTGATGTTTTCCACTCTGATCAAAATGTTACATGTTTTTTCCCACATGACGCTTTTAAGTTATTTTGAGAGTGGAGTTTTTTCTGTAATGCTAGTTCATAAAAAAAAAAAAAAACTCCCAGTTTTCTTTGACTGCACACTAAATAATATCTCTCTTAGTCAAAAAAAAAAAATAATTCTGGGTTTAGTTCTGGTTTAGAAATTGAAGGTTCGTGTTCTGCGTATCTCCTAGTATGCACTAAAAAGCAGTCAAAGAATACTACTCAGAAAGTAAAATAGGATTTGAATAAACTTTAATAGTAAAGAGGTTTTTAAACAAAACATCTGAGAGAAGGAAGTATAAGCTCTGAAGCATGAAATTATTTTTAAAGGAAAGAACTATTATAAAAATCCTTTTATTATTCCACATTAGTGTGAAGCACAGGCCTTATGATGGCTATATTCCACGTGCATGTCCAAGTACAATATTTTTAACTTACTGTTAAAAATATTTTCAATCCAAAACACTTTCCTTCTACATGCAAAGACCCTTTGGATTATGTTTATTATACTGTAGTCTTTGGCTATGGCATATACACAGGGCATCTCATTTCCGGCCTGGCCCCATTTTCTTCAGCCAAAATCAATATCCACAACTATGTTTTCCTTTAGCTCTGTGATCCAAACTGTTTCTGAAGCAATAGAATTTTGCTCCTACTTTGGAATAATAGATTTGTTTCAAATCTTGCAAAGTCACACAGGACTCCCCAGAAATATGTACCTTATTCCAGCATAAAGGAAGTAAGTTTTTCATGGAAGTGGCAACTTAAAGTGCCAACTCCTCTTCTTCAGGCACGTTGGTTCCTTAAGCCACACAGGGATTTAACACCAACTCAAAGAAATAGGCCTAAAGTTCTTCCTGAATCCCATTTCCTTGTGGACCACAGGTGCCTGCTTTCCCGCTTGGAGCAGGAGACTAACACAAGCAAGGAAGGCCAGTGGCCCCCAAAGCTATGATCATCTTTTTTACTTACTGCGATAGCCAACCCTGCTCCTTCAGCTGGTATGGGTGAAGAGAATACCCCAGATAATGAAAATTCTGGGATCAGATTCCTCCATGGATGGTGCTGCTGTGGGACTCCTAGCTGCAGAAGAGGCTGCTACATGGTCCTGGGCTGGCGTTGGGGAAGAAGCACATCACACAGGGGTTTTGAAGGTCCATGCTCTGCCATGGAAAGCCAAAACTGGCCAGGTGGGGAGGGGGCATCCCTGAAAGCTTGGCTTTCCCTAAGGACAGCTGTGCCAGCTCACAGCCCTGGTAGCAGCAGGAGCCATGCAGCCCTGTTATGTCACCTGAAGGCAGTGCAGCACTGGTGTAGCTTTGCACACGCCCTGCAGAACCAGCCCTGATAGAAGGCTGCACCCCAACCTCATCCACAGGTAACTGGGAGGTGTCCAAGTCTGGGCATACCTGAATTCTGCTTTCCTAAGCAGTCAAGAGTATGTATCTCTATCACATGTATGTCTCTGCTTGTCTCCTTGGGAGTGTGGGATTCCTGCATTTCCACCAGCTACTGAAGGTAACATCGTGTTTGTGCACTGAGAGAGCAACTTCTCATTTTACTCTCTATGAAAGCATTGGATTATGCTTTCATAGAAAGTAAGTATAGATCTACAACGCCTTTGGACATCTGAGTGACAAAGGATAAGGTATGATGCAAAGGATGTGTGGGAGAAGAAGCTAGATAAACTTCAGTAACGCTGTCAGGTATTTGTAATGTTACATATTACTACAACATAAACATAGAAAGCAAGGCAGCTGTCTTTCTATTAATATTCAGAGGCAGGGATTTCAACATGTATAGTATTGCGTATTTGAGTTCCATTTTCTACTAAAGCAAATTTTTCTCAGCGTGGCCCATTGGCAATGCAAAAATCCCCAAAGGAGTATGCCTTAAAAGATTACCCCATCGCTTTTATCTGCTGTGACTTTGTGGTACGTATATTTGAAAGGCTGCTAAGGCAGTGAAGAATTGCCAAGGGATAACTGAACCACAAAGGCTGTAGTAATAAAGGAAGACAGAACAAAATTGTAGCTATAATTCCAAGATTTCCTTGTTATGTGGGAATGTAAGCAAATTTTAGTTTTACATTAGCATAGTCCCTTTCTAATTTATTTTTCAGCACAGCTTGTTGCTAAGAGCATTCTTTTGTGTTTCACTCAGTAGGAGGCAGCTGAAAATGTTATATACCAAGAAAAAAAGACTTTTGAAGGTTTTTCTATGCCACCACTACAGTACATTCTTTATTCCTGCTCCAGGAATAAAAATCTATGATCAAATGTTTGAACTCATTTAATTTTCCTGATAGTCCATCTGAATGACCTATACAAAACTTCACCACATATTTAATATTGCTTATTAAAAGTGTATCTTATGCTTTGAGAATGATGTTTTGCACACACAGTCGTAGTCCAGAGAAGCTGCAGATGCAGGAGTTGGATTGTATCTGATCAACTCAACAGAAATATATCTGTGTACATGTGTTTATGTATAAAATTAAGAAACCACATCAATTCTATAATCATAAAAATGTACACATCAGTTAACTACATGGATTTCTTTTACATATAATCAATAATAATAATAATAAAAAACCACATGAAACTATTAAAGATACAACCAACTCTTAATTAGCCACAGATAACTTGTTTAAGATGCAGAATAGTTGTATGCCGGAGACCTTAGAATTGTGCATAGCTAGCCCAGCAGGTTTAGTGTTTCAAACATAGAGACCTCTTAAACCCAGCTATGTGACATCTGTGCTTAGCTCAGGTCTGGAAGTTTGCAGTTTTGGGCCTTTCTTGGTCATTACCAGACCAGAGCTAAGCTAGCCTCAGAAGGAAACCCTCAGTTTTCTCTCTTCACCAATGTCTTCTGTTATATGGGTGAACCTTTTGTATAGGGTATCCCACTTCTGTATTGCTTCAGCTAAGGACAGAAACTTCAACTTTCCTATGTAAGGTGTTTATTAAAGGGATGTCAAAATGCATCAAGAAAAAAAAAAAAAAAAAAAGAAGGGACTAGATTAAAGACTACATGAAAAAAAAAAAATACATGGAGCTTCACTTAACAAAAAGGTACAGTTGCATCTACATTGTCCCTACACATATCTCTGCATATTTAACATTTTTTGATCCATTTTTAGACATGAACTTCTGGAAGAAGCTCGGAGAAAGGGTTTGCCTTTTGCACAGTGGGATGGGCCAACAGTGGTTGCCTGGCTGGAGGTAAGTGTTGGCCATGACTTGGAAATGTGAGTCATGTTTGCAGACTGCTTCTATATGCTCGTCCACAGAGGGATAAGGGCAGGAATAGCAGCTTACCAAATGCATTTGAACCTCAAAATTTTGAAATCAGTCTCTAAATATCTAGGAACTCCATGACAGAGTTTATGTAGGATGATGTGCTAAGGAGAAAATGAAAATTAACTATGAAATTTTGAAGTGAACACAGAAGCCACAACGTCAAAATTTTTAGTAAATTTAAAGAATCTATCATTTTCTGTCTTCTTAACATATAATGGGAAAGGCCTGGTTTACCTAAATATCATTCAGAACAGGAAAAAAGAGACATCCCTTTCAGGACTTTTACCCAGGATGTGGGATACCTAGGTTTATGTGGAGACCCTAAATGAATGGATTTTAAAACCCATCCAGAGAAACATTCAGAACTGTCCATCAATTTTGACAAAGATCAATGAATGTTTTAGGTGAAAGGACTATTCAAAATATACTTACCCAGATGCTGAGGGGAGGAGAAGCCAGAAAGTAAGGATGTTCTTCTACAGATACACAGTCACTTTTAAACAGCAAGGCTGTATTACCTCAGTGGAGGTACGAGCTCCTTGTTGGCTCAAGGAACAGATGTCTAATCCTTGTCTATACCAAGTGTCTGTATGTATTCCCACCTGTTCTCATGTCTGCTGCGGGTATCATCCATTGATCATCAGATAGAATTTGTGGAGTTTTTCCCTTCAATTTAAACAAAGATCCCTCTCCAAACCTTTACCAGGAAAAAATGCAGGGAATAAATGAAGGGCAAGGTATGAAAGCAGCTAATGCCTGCAAAATTTCTGCTACATATTGGAATTGCTGAGTGTACCTAATGAAAATGTTTAAATGAAAACTGCAGACAGGCAGTTCAGGTGTTTGCACATGACCTTGGAAAATGGGATGATATCTCTTTTCCCCAAAAATGTTTCTGTTGATATGGAATTTTCATTATTTTGCCCACTACCTGACTTTTTCATATGACTCTGAGAGTTCTGTTACCAGATTTGTATCAGTTGGAAATATCCAATATTACAGTCAAAGCTGATTTGCTGGAAAAGTGAACATACAAAGGTCTATACATTTCTCAATACTGAGAAAAACCTGCCCTTGGTGTCCTCCGTAGTGATATGAATTTTGAAGATATTTCTGACAAGCTATGTCCTAATCTCTTTTTTCCCCTTGATTCTTAGCTGCAGAATAGGATACGCTTCCCGCTGTCTCAGAGAGGGGCTGTAAAGAGAAATTCATGTCTCTGAACTTCTTGGAAGATATTATGAGAGTAACACTAGAAAGCCCATGAGGAAATTTATGTTGCTATATTCAGTGCAGACTGAATACTGGTGATAAAAAGATAATGAGGGCAGAAGTACTCTGTTGACTCAGTGAGCATTAGTGCATTCAGTCAGCAGGTGGACAATGTGCATTCCATACTCTCCCAGAGAAAATACAATGTGTGACCCTTCAACTAAAACCCAAAATTAATATTAAAGAAGACAAAGGTCCAAATGAAGTATATATGATCACAGCTGTGACATTTCCAAACTTTTCAGGGCTTAACTTCTCAGCTTCTAGCATTTATTCCAGTCATTTGTATGTAGCACATGTATAGTTGTGCTAAAATATAGCTATATTTTAAGAACTCTGTGTTTTCTTAACTAATTCTGGAAAAGTATATCAATCTTGATATCAGGACTCTCTTCCTTGAGCAATTACTGTGCCCTCTTTTTGGAGACTTTTTTTCAGCTAAATGCATTTTCTGGTAGAGACAGCTTGTTTATTAACAAACTAATTTATGTAATTTGTTAAAGAACTAATTTATCTAATGAGTGGGAGACATTTGAATCTATTTCTGCAGGGTGAATAACTCCACTATTTACTCTTTCCTGCTTTTCAAGTACGTGAATGAAAAAAAAAAAGTCTAATTAGGTGAGAATATTAAATCCATCTTAACCCTATGCATAATTTCCTCATGGGCCTTTGTTTAAGCACAGCTGGGTGTAATCAACATAATTTTTGCATTAATATTTTTACTTTCATGAAACTTTGTAATTTTTTACAGTTAGTTGGAATAAGATCATACTTTTAAGGTTCAGACGAGCATTGGGAAGAAGGGCAGTGGCTGATCCCATCAGTGGAAAGGGCCTTTCAAACCATCATGTAATGCTCCTCATACGCTGTGATACGTCAGGAGCCAGTACAGAAAAGCCTGAATGAGCTCTTTTGGAATCTAACATTTGAGTCTGTTTTCTCTGAGACATAAAAGTGATCTAACCGCTGTCTTTTAAGTAAATATATAAACCCAAATAAGGTATAGACTTGTTGATAACCACACAGTACTACCCTTACTATGAGAAATTAAATAAAAATCCCTCCCATTTGTCTATACTTTCAGATTTGTTCATTAATTTAGTGATGGCATATTTTGACTCATTTTCTTGAATTTGTGTCCTCTTTTGGTAAGCTATTATTAACAGAAAAAAATTAAAATAATGACATCAGCTAATTCTGATGGTCTATTTGAGATTAATCAAGCTAGTTCTGTCTCTGTTTTCCTTTGTGTTATCCCCAAAATCTCAGTGATTATGGCATTAACTGCTCATGTCCTTGCCACAGTTTTTGCTATAGCATAATGTATTTCATACTGTGACAAAAACTTCCCACATATTTCTATCCCTGCTATGGAATTATTTAATTTGGAAGCACAGAGATGTAGACACGGACATTCATATTAATAAGCCAACACAAAATGTGAAATCTGAGAAAATCAAGGATTCATACTCAATATGTCCCAGGAAAGACTGCCTGGAGTGCATAGTACCTCTTACAAGGAAAGACTAAGTGCTGAAGCAAGGGGTGTTGCTGACCCAGCCTGGTAAGTCTAAAATTCAGGAGAGGAAAAGCATGCAATCACAAGTACGTATCTTGTAAATCCACAGGTGGTGTAGCTGTGCTCACATTTACTGCAGCTTCTAACCAGTATTTATAGCTGGGATGTGGCACCCATACCAGACTGTTCCCAAATTTACAGCAAGCTCAGTCCTCACTGAGTTGGTTATTTGTACTGTGCTTGGTTTATTTCTACCAAGAAGAAAAAAAAAAAAAAAAGAGCTGAGAAGTATAAGATTGTGCCCCATGAGTACACTATTACACCATGGCGACTTACATGGAAAAAGAGAGAACAAAAATGAAAAAATTTTAGAACAAAAATGAAAAAATTATTTGATCATTTCTCCTTATATTTTCTGCTGTATATGATAAGACTATCAAATGTGCTGTGATGCTGAGTTGTGCCACTGCTTGCTCATTAAAGGCCTCTGAAAGGAGTAGCCCAGGTGATGGAGGCACACGGCTCTAAAAGTGATTCAAAGCATTCCTTGCTTTAAAGTTCTGCTTACCACAAAAGCAACAAGAGTTCAGATGAAGCCATGGCAATTTCAAAGGCTGTGAAACTATCTCATTTGACGAAAGACTATGACAAGACTATTTGTGCTCGCTTGTGTGTGTCTTCCATGCTAATTCAGATTGATAGGTGCCTTGATGATTAATATCACTGGGAAAATGAAACAATGCTTCCAATGAACATATCCTTTCTCTGAACAGCTCTGGCTGGGCATGCCAGCCTGGTATGTGGCTGCCTGCCGTGCCAACGTGAAGAGTGGAGCCATTATGTCGGCTTTGTCCGACACGGAGATTCAAAGAGAAATTGGAATCAGCAATCCTCTTCATCGCTTAAAGCTCCGGTTAGCAATCCAGGAGATGGTGTCACTGACAAGCCCATCGGCGCCTCCAACATCCAGAACAGTGAGTCCTGTTCAGCTAACTTTTTCTTTCCTGCTTCAACCTGCAGGAGTCTGCAGAAAGACTTCTGTAGTGTGTGAGTGGCTCTGCAGGAACACACACTTCACAATCAGGGGGAACAGTCCTGTTGAGACTTAGAAGGACCTCTTCAACACTTGCTTGATTGTTGATCACTGGTATTTTTTATTTTAGCAGATATTCTTCAGGTTTTTTTAAGTCATGCTTTTGATTAACCTCAATGTCATTTAAATTATTAGTATTGAACATCTTATTTGTAATTTTGTCTGTATTTGTGCATTTCTCTTCCTTCAAATCATCTCTGTCAACCAAATCAGTTTCTGTTTCACTTTTCCTTTTTTTTTTTTTTTTTTTTTTGGGGGGGGGGGTGTGGGTTGTGCGGGGGGGGGGGATGCGGGGGGCAAGGCAAGAGGAAGGAGAGGTTATGTAGGAACATAGCTTTTTTTGAGTCTTGTTCATATTCCCCTTTTTTGCATCCTTTAAAGTGTTACCTGACCTGAGTCGGCTGGCGTTAGGTTCTTCATGCTTTTAAGACAAGCGGTGATTTAAAATGTGAAGTGAGAGTCTGGAAGAAGAAAGTGGTGTGTGTGCATTCGGCGAGGAAGGGAGGGAGAGTGGCAGCAGACAGGAAGGAAGCAAGTAAAGAAAAAACACAGAGATACAAGCCTGAAAGGAAAAGGGAATATATCAAAAAGAGCAAGAAAGTATGTTAGGGGAAAGTAAGAACGTATGTGCTATAGATAAAAAGCACTTTTTAGTGGAAAACGAAGAAAAATAGGCCAAACTGACAGGGAGAAAAAGAAACAAGATAACAAAAGGGGAGTTTTCTGTTGAGAGGTTGATGGTGATGGCTATAAAAGAGGCAAAAGAGACGATAACAAAGAAAAAAAATGAGACTTGATCAGATGGGAAACATCGCATAGAAGTGAAGGACAAAGGCCACTACTCAAGTAGTGCCGCCCAGACTTCTAATAGAAAGATAATAATAATGCTGTTAATAACAGTAGTATTATTTATATTCTGCTATCTCTTATCTTCATGGAATTAATGAAGAATCTTTTGGTGGAATTAGAACCGAGATACCTTTGAGGGGTACCAGATCCACTGACCTACATAAGCAACTGGGCAACAGGACTCTGATGTTCCTGTTGGCTGACCTTTAATCTTCATGTTGCTAAGATGCCTTAAATATTATAGTTCTCCATCTGATATTTTCTACCCTCAAAACAGTTGTATATGTCATAACCATAGTAATACTATGAATCATAACGGATTTCACCTAAGGAAAGCTGTATAGACTCAACATGAAGTTGAATAACTAAACAAAATTAATTTTGATTTTAAAATCATAAGAGCGTATTTCAAAGCACAAGAGCATTAAGACCAAATGAGAATACAGTGCATTCAAGCTAGAAATATTTAGAATCGTTTTGCCTTGGTCTTTTTTTTTTTAATTCTTCTTGAGTAATTGGCAGCACAAAGGTGCCCTGTCCTGGAATATGCATTTGTGAGTCCCAAGTCTCTCTGCCTCCCTGCTTTTTCAGGAAAGAGTTAATTTACTTCAGCTCTCAAGAAAACACAACAGACTTCTACACCCCCTCCCTGCCTTATCTCATTGCCCTAGTCATAATCTGACTGAACACAATAGGATGAGGAAAAATATTTTTACAAGTGAATTCTCTTGATATTTTTGATTTACAGAAACCTGGGGAGAATAGTCATTATTTAGATTACAGTATGAGCATGTGATGTATGCAGGATATTTAGGCTGGAAAATCTTTGAGAACTGAAGCTTACCTCCAGACAGAGTTATGAGTAAAGGTTGTATTTGCCACTTGTGTGTGAAATGCAGCTTTAATTAACATTCTTTCCTTTGTGATGGTGCTTTGCTGGATTTCATCCATCAGTTCTAGCTGAAATACTTCATCGTATCTGCTGAGAATCCTCTAATAAAAGATACAAACCAAGTTGTCTGAAGTTGTCTCTAGTTGCAGCTCGGTAGAGGCAAGGCTGTGGCTGTGCTGATGGTGATGCTATACGCTGTTAACTTACAGTGGTGCTGCCTTTCTTCTTTACCACTGCTTACCTAATGTGGATCCCACCTGCCTTCCTGCGGGCCTTGTCCGTAGCCCTCAGGCAATGTTTGGGTGACCCATGAAGAAATGGAAAACCTTGCTGCTCCAGCTAAAACGGTTAGTCTTTCCACTTCCATTGAAAATGGTTTCGGTGCCCAAAGGAGAACTAGGATGTATCTGCTTTAATGCAGATGCCCTGTCTTCTGTAGGATGCTTCCCAAGCATGCCGTTAGAAAGTCAAAGGGAGTAATGAAACTGAATTTAAAGAACAGTTACATCATTTCTCTGCAAAAGAAATTACAAACTGTATTGCAACCACAAAATTTGTGTGAACCTAAAAGCAGTATTTGAGTTTTATAGTAGATAATAGTTACACTGCCAGTGTGAAGCCTCATTTAGTGAAATTAAATTTTTGTGGTTACAGGTGCAACATTTCCCTGTACTCCTTAGTGCATCTTCTAAATACATTTTTGTATCTGCTGAATTAGAAATAAATAAAAAAAGGCTTGAGAATGGTGCATTACACAACTCAGTGTTTTCATTAACTCTGAGTCCATCATGTCTGTACTTGTATATTCACGCTCTTTGATTTAATGCATAATTTATTGATTGATTTTTGTCAAATCTCTCTCTGCTTTTGGGGACATAAATATTAAAAGCTTTTATTCAATAGTACTGGCCTTTTTTCTCGTACTTGGAACATGTGTTATTTCAAGTTTTGTTTATAGCAACACATCACAAGAGCTCCATAACAGTGCTTATAAAACACAATACAATCCTACAGTGGGACGTCTGCAAAACCTACCTTCAGTTTGGAAAACTTTATAGTCAGCCCAATTCATATATGGTGGGAGAGGTACTGAAGCTAAATTTTCATGCAATAAAGAGTTATTTCTTAGAAATCTATGCATGCTATAATATTTGAAGTTTCCTTATGAACACTCATGAAGCAGATTCTCATCATAGTCTTATTTTTTTCCACAACTGATCTATCTTTCTATTTTATTATTTTTGGTATAGATAAATACAAATACGACAACACTCAACTGACTAGACGTAGAGCTGATCCTCATTTAGTGGCCAGCTAGAAACATATCATTCTGCCATTAAGAAAGTTAGATAAAACTCCTTCACAGTACATTCATAAAAAGACACATTTTTATTGTGAGTGTTGCAAGATCTAACTGGAAACAAACAAACAAACAAAAAAAGGGATCTCTAATGCACAATTTTTTAAGTAATTGGCTGTGTTTTGATTGTGAAACCATAAAAAGTGTTTAAGATAATGCTGTAAAGTCTTGCCAAGCTATAATGATTTTATATCTTGAAAACCTAGCTAGATTTGCCCTACTAAGGTTTTATGATTCTGGTCTTGTGCTTCTTAATGTAGTTTAGCCTGAGGCATTGCCACTGACTGCAGTTATTTTATTGGCACATTTTATTTTATTTGTACTAAGATTAACATACACATGAAAACCACATCTTTTTATAACTCGTTTTTATTGTCTTTTTATCTGCTTTCCTAATTGCTTCCTGCTGGTAACACAGAAAGAGTCTGAAGAAGGCAGCTGGGCTCAGGTATGACCCATTTACATGTTTGTGGTTTTTTAACAGAAAACTAATAATAATGTCATTAACAGTGTATCAATATGCATAGAAGAGTATAGTGTCGTGTCTGTATTTCAATGATTGAATCATGATTTAGACATTTTTAGAGTTCTTCTAATACAAAATAAATATTCTCTGGACAGGTTTGCTAAGAGGTACATATCATAGAATCATAGAATCATA